CTCTTGCATTCCAGGCTGTCCTGGACTTGGTAGAAATGTCCCTAGCATTTCATCTGGCGACTAGGTAGGGGACAGCATTATGTAACAAAGGTAAGAATGTGATTTCCTGTCCAGTTGAAAGGTAGACAGGTATGGACAGGCTTCTTACTTCTATTGACCTCCCCAGCTCTGGTTAATTTTGAAAGGGCAGGCACAAAGTGGCTAATGTGACATCTCCTCTTACTCCTCTCCATGGTCCCCCTTCTTCCCTAGACTGGCTGAGTCTAGGTGCTCGTTGCTGGGATGGCTCTTCCCAGTTGGTATTCATGGAGGTTTGAACTCAAAGCCTGGGCACTGTCCCTGAGCACTTCTGCTCAAGGCTAGTGGTCTATCACTTTGAGTTATAGTACCACTTTCAGTGTTTGGCTGGTTAGAGATAAGAGTCTCTTGACTTATGCTTCCAGCCTGGCTTGGCTCTTTGCTGGTTAGTTGGGAGATGGAGTCTTAGGGATTTTTCTGCCCGGGCTGGCTTTAAACTGCAACCTTTGCCACAAAAAAAACCTTTATTATTCCCAATTAAAGCAACAAGGAGATCAAATAGAAGTAAGTAGAGATTATCTGCTCCTTATCAAGAATTGACCAACAAATATTCTGTGATGATAAAACTCGGTAGATGTGAGGAAAGTTTTAGCACAGATATAGTATTGATTTCTGGTGACCCTAACGGTGCTTAAGCTAACTCAAGTTCACAAGAGGCTATCCTGGCCTACACATAGCCAGCCTTTTCCAGGTCAGGCTGGATAAGATTTACTAAACTAATGTAACACAACAGTCTTAGTTTTTGCAAACCTAAAGCAATCTTTCACCAGGAATCAGCTGTGTGTGATGGAGTCAAACAGGAGTTCAGTCTACTTTTACCATGGTGGAGGTAGTCAGGATGGTCTAGGCAGGAGTGAGGCCTGTTTTCCAGGTTGGAAGAGATGGACTGGATCTAGAGTGCATGTAGACTGGCTGGCTCTGAACTACGAATCCAAACTGAACAAACTTCAGCAATCTCAGACCATGTGAGCCAAATAACTTGATCATAATGCTAGATAACAAGTTTACACAGACATGGATATACACACATAGGCATGCATACACACACACAAATATATACACACTGTACACATTAAGTTTTACAGTGCACAAACATGAATAACAGCTGTAGACTCTGGGAATTCCAACAGTAAGATGACATTATTTTGCCCAATATTTTAGAACCAGGTGGTCAGTTCTAGAATAGGCAACCCAAACAAAAAAGGCAAAACTCAAAAGCCCCAAAATTTTGACGTTTAGACATCTTTACTAGCAAAGCACATCAGATGGTCGGGCCTCAGTTTCCACAGCCTGTGAAAAGAGGCAGCAATTTGTTAGCAAGGCACATTTGAATAAACGGGTGGAGGAGTAGTAAGCTTGATGGAAAGGCAAGGGTCAGATGAGGCCAAACCCTTAACCCACCACGTGGCCAAGATGGCGAATTTCTGAAAAATGTCATGATGAGAAAACTTGGTGGAGCTTTATTGAATAAGTAAGCAGGCAAGCAGACAAGCCGACAAGCCAACAAAGAAGCAGAAAGGGTAACCTCTAACAGATTGTGGGGGCTTCTCAAGGAAAGACAAAGATTGAATGAATGATAAGACAAAGAAAATTACCTTTCTAGAGGAGATGGCTGGGAAGCAGCAGAGGTGAAGGGCTTAGTGAGCCAGAGGACAGGCAAAGAAAACCTGAACCTATGGAAACTGACAATTGTTAAACCTAGAGTCTGACTAGCCTTTGAGAGGGAACCTAGAGGGGGGTCGCACTCTTTAGGGCACAAGCCAAAAGGTTGGAGAAAAGAGAAAGAGGGAGAGATAGGGAAAGTTGGACACGATTGGCAGAGAGAGAACAAAGAGAGCCTGAAAGTAAACAGACTTCTGACCATTTACCATTGCAGTGGGAAAAACTGTCTACATCTGAGAATGGCATAAAAAAATGAGGTGCTCTGGCTTTCCAGGGAGTGCAGGAGGCATTTCAAAGAGGTTTCCCAGCTCAGGTGTGACACTGCACCCCATTAAAAGTGCAGGAGAGTCAGTCTGGAGAGTGAAGGAGTGCTGACCATGCAGAAGTGGCGTCCCCACTTCCCCCAGAGCCCTCTAGAAAGAAATGGCCAACCCCCCAAAACCAGGCGTCCCCACTTCCCCCAGAGCCCTCTAGAAAGAAATGGCCAACCCCCCAAAACCAAGCGTCCTCAGCTCCGGAGGTGCTGTAGGAGCTCTCTGTCATGGTGCCACATCTGGACAGAGACTGAGCAACGGAGAACCATTGAGAGTAGTTTCACTCACCAGAGTAGTGGTGTGGATGTGGATGTGAAGGGCAGCAATGGTGTTGGTGAAAAGTCTCACGTGGTGTCTCAAAGCAGTTTGGCTCATAGAAAAGGGGTGGTTAGGAAATTCTAACATTTCCAACTCAAAAACCTCATCTGAGTCACAGCACCACATGTAAGGCATATTAGAAGTAGGTAGATTTCATTAGGTAGCCAATGGAGAGAACACCACGCACTATTCAGACAGGAAAAGAAGTTTATTTACCAAACTGCAGAGCCAGCTATGCATAGTTGAGAGGCAAGTTCAAAAAGCGAGATCTACCCCCAGGCCAGGACTTATCTAAGCTAAGGATAGGAAGAGGTGTGGCCAGGTGGGGAAAGGTGTGGCCACATTGGATCTGAATGTGACCTCAGGCCTGGAACCTTCCAATGGCCAGATGGGAGGCATGTGACCAGAGGCAGCCCAGGGGGAGGTGACTGCTTCCAGGTGTGCCAGTTACCTAGGTAACAGATATTGGGCGGAAACTTAGCCAAGAGGTAGGGAGGTGTGCTGTGGCTCAAGTGGTAGAGCACTAGTCTTAAGCAAAAAAAACTCAAGAGACAGTGCCCAGGCGCTGAGTTCAAGCCAAGGACTGGCAAAAAAAAAAAAAAAAGAATTGGTCCTTCACATGATTTGTCACCAGCTGCATACAGCAGCACTCAAAATGAGCAAATTCCCAATGCAAAAATTACACATTGGGCTTCAAAGCCCCCTACACACACAAATGTAAAATATTCCCAATAATTCTATATTGATTACATGTTGGATAGGAAATACTCTGGCTATATCAGCTTAAATGTTACTAAATTTATGTCACCTGTTCATTCTTTTTAATGTGGCTATTGGGAAATTTACTATTACATGGCTCAAATAATTCTGTTAGATAATGCTATAACAGAAAATCAAGCTTTACTAAAACTTAAGGTTAGCTTGGCACTTGTGACTGACCCCTATCATCCAAGCTACTCGGGAAGCTAAGATCTGAGGACTAAGTTCAAAGCCAGCTCAAACAGAAAAATATGTGACTCTTATCTCCAATTAGCCACCAGAAAACCACACGTGGCACTGTGGCTCAAAGTAGTAGAACACTAGACTTGAACACAAAGGGCTCAGAGCCCAAACCCTGAGTTCAAGCCCCATGACCTACCTCCCCCCAAAAAATTTAAGTTTTTTTTTTTTTTTTTTGCTAGTCACTAAGGCACATTCTTATAAATCCCAACAGGAAGATTGTAAGTTCAAGGCCAGGCAGGGATGCATAACAAGACTCTGGCTCAAAACACACAAACTGACCTGTTTCTACTTAAAGCACTTGCCTTGTGTTTTTGCCAAACCTTTCAAGATAAAAATTATACTGAATAATGGTGTACAGTACAAATAACTGGTGAGTCTGATTTGAATTTTTTGGAAGCATATACCCAATGGAACTGATGTACCACATGGCACATCATTGTTTTCCACAGTATCTGGGTCCTTTTTGCCCACCAGCAATGTACAAGGGTTCTACACATCACTATATCCTCACCAATGTTTACTTTCATTTAAAAATATAGCCATACTAATGGATAGATGTTCTTTTTTTAAAAAAATATCAGGAAGAACAGGCATTTGTCAATACTAAACACTTCAGTTGGTAATATTAAGAAACCTCTAAGCTAGGCATCACTATGCCTGAATCACTGCCCTTGGGAGACTTGAGTTAGGAGAATTTCAAGTTAGGTCATCTTAGGCTACATAGTAAGTTCCAGGCTAGCCTGTGTCACACAGCTAGCTTCAGGCCACTTTGAGTTACATAGTAAAACTCTGTCTGAAATAAAGTAAAACAAAACAAAGGCTGAGAATATTGATTAGTGATAATAGGCTAGCATGTGCAAAGCCCTGATATGATCCAGCATCATGAAGAAAAAACCCTCTACGAAATTAAAGATTTATTCCTGATATACTGAAATACCATGCATTTCAAGAAGAAAACTGGCATGCATTTCAAAGCTGGATTCCTGTGCGTATAACCTATCCAACTCTAAAGAATACCTCATTGCCTGAATCAGTACCAGGGGACTTTATAACATTTCTCAGCATTAGCCTGTAGAAAAGGTCTCAGAAAATTAAACTTACTTCATATATTCAGCCAACTAAAAGTACAATTTCTTCCACAGCATGAAAAACCAGTGCTTTTCCTCCTAGGTACATTGGTCATAGTCTTTCAAGTCTAACAAGTTCACACAATGAAGAAAAATCAAATCTGATGGGAGCCAGATTTGGGAGAATCATGGTTCAAGGCACAAAAGCTTGAACCATGAAGATTCAGGAGACTCCAATTAATCAATGGCCATGAAAAGCATACCTGTCATCCCCAGAGACTCAGGGAAACACAAATAGGAGGATCACAGCCCAGGCCAGTCAGAGAATAAAGCCAGACCCCCATCTGGAAAATAATCCAAGGCAAAAAGTGGCTCAGGGTATGGCTCAAGTAAAAAAGAGTATTTACCTTGCAAGCTCAAGGCCCTGATTTCAATCCCAAGTGCCACTACACACACACACACACACACACACACACACACACACACACACACACACACACACACACACACACACACACACACACACACACACACACACACACACTCTGAGACTTTGGCATTAATTGCTGCAGTTAACTTTATTATAATATTTTAAAATATGGAAATTTCAAAACATAGTATTTATACAAATACCTGAGGATTGTTCAACTGGGCACAGCATCTTCATACAAACAATTTGAAAGAAGATCAAATTTAAGTAAGAATCTACTCTTACAAAGAATAACATAGATGAAGTGATGCTTTAAGTAATTGCATCCTTGACTAAAATTTACTTGGTTTTCTGAAAAGAAACTATACATTCTTGCCCTAATGAACATTTTATTGGTATTTAGAAAAATCTCATAGCTTATAAACATTACACCAAAGTTATATAAAGTAATGCCAATAGACATATAGCACCATTTCCTCTTAAAAGTTCTAATTCATAAAACCTGGAGCTGTAAGTCAGAACTAATGTATCTTTCAAAACATGGAAGAATAAATGGCTCAGAAATAAGCAAATTAACTAGAACTATTGCATAGGAAAGAGACTGTCCCTGTAAGGAAGCTGATTGGATTGTTTCTTATCACCTGAAGAATAAACTGAGGTATGGGTAATACATATATATTTTTTACAGAATAAACGCTTCTAATTACATGATAGTTCATCATGTAGCAGTGCAAAGTGCCATATTAAATTCAAGAAGAAAACACTCATGTGTGTATCCATACAGGTAGAGAATAATATGATATGGTAAAGTATCCATATGAAGAATAAACACAATCAAACATATATAGCTTTAAAATATTTGGACACAGGCATCTTGTTACCAAGACTGTGAGAAACTGATACCTCATGTCCACGCTTAGCAAAAATATAGGAAGTTTTAAGTAGGTATTTTATTGAAAAACTTAAATCCAGATCCATTCAAACCATTCTTGTAGTGTAAACTTTTTCTTCACAAAGTGACCATTCTATTGTATAATTTTTTAAAATGATCAAAAATTGATTAAGAATAGTCTATGAAAGCTCATATAAGCTTGTTTTTTTCCTTTAAATATGAGCAAATAAAATCCCAAGGGCCGCAATAACAGAAAGAAAACTAATGCAGATGGCTATCTCTTTCAGGAAACTAGCGGAACACTGTAAAATAAAAATATTTTAGAGCTAATAGGTGCATCTTTACATTCTCTTCTGATAAAAACTCTTACAGATTATTCATAAAAGCTTTTTTCCCCTTTGGGATTTAGCTGTTTTGGCTTTAAAGATTAACTAGAATCAAAGACTTTTATTCTGTTTACTACATGTAAGTATATTTGTAAACTATACCATAAAAATAGTAAAAAGACAAATGCATTGCCAATTTAAGTATTGTAGTGCTAACATGTTAAATGGTTTTTATTGTATTTATTTTTTAAAAGTATTCGAGTTTCAACTATGTGCCTTGTAATTCTTAGGAAGTCATTGTATCGGTTGAGTAACCTCCCAAAGCTCTTAAACATTTTATAAACACGTAAAATGTAGTTCTAAAAATCTGATAATACATTTTATAGTAATATTCCATGAAATAAAATCTTCTAAGAGAAGACAAATGTTTCTAAATTAAAATGTTTTCAGAACACCTGAGAATTATGTTTAAACTAAATTTGTGCGTTTTTCAGTTGTATTTTCCTTCTTTAAGTTTTTCAATGTAGTAACATAGTTTTAATGCTGGTCCCAGCTTCAACCCCATATATTTCATCATCATATCACTCTTCAGTAGAAGCAGAGCATCGCCATCAATTTCCTACAGAGAGAAGAAAACTATCATAATTAATGTTCCCATATTAATTATGCTTCAAAAGTTACATATATAAGAATGTGTAAAAGAGAGAGAAGTTGTACTTTTCAGATACATATTCTCTGAATATGTATTTTTTCATGAAAATATAACGTGTATAGTGGAGCATCATCTGGTAATTTGGAAATTTCAAATCTTAAGAAAAAGGAAGTTTAACCCATTATCTTCAATAAGTATCCTATGTATCAAATTATCTGATTTTAAACACCATGGGTTAAATAAAATATTACACTATCTATGACAGTGGGTCAAATGCTATGAACGGTAGAAGTAAATTTCAGATAATATTAACTTTCTAAGAACAACCAAGAATATGTCAACATTAATGCAAACTCTAAACATAGTCTACAAGGTTATCTTTATGCTGAAACAATTAGTTATCTAAGCTAGTTACTAATTTTCAAACAATATTAAAAAGGACATATTATATAATAGATCACTAATGTCAGAAAACATTAGGGAAATATTACTTATTTAATGACATCCTCCTAAAGTTCTATTACTTTTATAAATCAATTTATGTTACTGGAATCTTGATTCCCTGGATTTTGTTTTTTGTTTTTTGGTTTTTTTTTTGGTTGGTCGTGGGGCTTGATCTCTGGTGGGCCTGGGCGCTGTCCCTGAGCTCTTCAGTTCAAGGCAAGTGCTCTACCACTTGAGCCACAGCTCCACTTCTGGTTTTCTGGGGATTCATTGGAGATAAGAGTTTCACAGAATTTCCTGCCCGGGCTGGCTTTGAACCTCGATCCTCAGATCTCAGCCTCCTGAGTAGCTAGGATTACAGGCGTGAGCCACCGGCACCCGGCTATGAATCCCTGTTTTAAAATAAAGTTACAATTAACCTTACATAAATTCACTGGGTAGCCCAACAAGGTCTTCTCCTCCAAGTACTGATCCTAGGGCAAGCAGGAAACAGGTAGGGGTGATATTGGAGGGGCAAACAGGAAAGGGCTGGCAGCCTCACAATGGTAGACTGAAACACATCTCTTGAGAACTTGACACTGTTTAGTATTACAGGCACTCGGATATACATTTAACGAGTAGACCATTAACCTACCATTTAAGGACCTTTGGCAAAATAACCTTTCTTGACAATGGAAAAACCATTGAGGAAAAACCTCACTAAGCACACAAGTCAGTATCCAACTGAAAGGCTTGAAGACAGGTCATTCAAAGGCATTAAGGCAGCAGGAAAACTGGATCAAAAGATACATTACATGTTGCCTGAAGAGGTCGGCGAGGGGGCCTGATATGTGAGGATCTGTATGTTTCATAAACCGTATCACTTCATCCACAGACCAGGTTGAAGGGTCCTTAGAGAAGCCTTGTTTCAGGACACTGGGGTCAGGTACAGCTATATAACTTGGATCTTCAATGAGGAGGGGAAAAAAAACAAATCATACTTAACCTGATCATTATTCTGAAAGAAGAGATGTTAAGGTTGGGAGTGAGTAGTGGTCTCATTCCTGGAACCTTAAGTACTCAAGAAAGGATTTAAGACTCTAACTATAAAATCTAGTGAAAGCTTAAATAAAGATGATTGGCGATCTAAGAATACCCTCATGGGACTTTCCCAAAACAGCAGCTTCAGAGGACATCTGAAAGCTTTAAAGATCATGAAAACAGATGCAACAACACAAGGCTTCTTGGGCCACAGATAAGAACAGAAAGAGATTTGTTACTTAGATTAAAGTTGGTTCAGCAATCTCCTACTCCAAATGTTGCAATGAATTCCCCCCCTCTCTCTGTCTCTGTCTGTCTCTCTGTCTCTCTGTCTCTCTGTCTCTCTGTCTCTCTGTCTCTCTCTCTCTCTCTCTCTCTCTCTCTCTCGTCAGTCGAGGGCTTGAACTATGGGCTTGGGCACTGTCTCTCAGCTCTTTAGCTCAAGGCTAAGGCTCTATCAGTTGAGCCACAGTGCCACTTCCAGTGTTTATTGGAGATAAAGAGTCTCACGGACTTTCTTGCCCAGACTGGGTTCGAACCTCCCTCGGATCTCAGCCTCCTGAGTAGCTTGGATTACAGCATGGGCCACCAGTGCCCAGCTTCTCCTACTCTCAATTTCTATCTAAATTAGTTTTATTTTACTAAATATATGGAATTTTCCCAAAGTTACATGTTTATAATTGCCTAAACTGAATCACTTTTTTGTGGGTCTTGCTGGGGATAGAATCCAGAGCCTTGAGCATGTTGGGCAAACAAGGGATTGATTACTTCTTTTACCAAATCTCTCCAATGTATTCAATATGGACATTCTTAGCATTATATTTACTCCTTAGATTACTATATCTCATGGTTTAAACATTAATCTGAACTTTTAAATTTTTTTTGTCATGGGGCTTGAACTCTGGGCTTGGGCACTGTCCTTGTGCTCTTCAGCTCAAGGTGAGCGCTCTACCGCTTGAGCCACAGCACCACTTCCGGTTTTCTAGCGGTTTATTGGAGATAAGAGTCTCACGAACTTTCCTGCCCGGGCTGGCTTTGAACCATGGTCCTCAGATCTCAGCCTCCTGAGTAGCTAGGATTACAGGCGTGAGCCACCGGCGTCTGGCTAAATTTTTCTTATTTTTTAAGCTAAACTTTAAAGTTATATTTTTATTAGCTAGATCAGAAGTAAATTTAATATTTAGTTTTTATTAGCTCAAATTACTTTTACAGAAAGGGGATTTCACTTTATGTCTATTTTAGTTTAATTCCAACAGATGTTCTGATTAAAAGTTCATTAATCAATAAATATCTGAAACATGAAACAATTTAGGGGCTCATACTTCACAAGGTTTTATCTATGTTCTTCACTAAATTGTTCTAAAAGTTCTTTGTTCTAACAAACTCAGGGTGCTCAACTCTTAAAGTTAATATGTGATGATAATTTAAGGGATTTTTATAGTTTATGAGAAAGGTTAGTTTCTCTAACCAAGAAGAGTTAAAACAAGTTTGTTCTATTTGTGTGTTACTTAGATTTTCTTTCCCATAATTTGGGCTATGAACATTCAGGAGCATTTTGAGTATTTACTTGTGGAATATATAAAGAACAAAGAAGATAAAATAAATATTTTTATTATGTGTAACTCTGGATTTCATGTCTTTACAACATCACAACTTATTGTGAAATAAAATCTTTATACTAAAATATATCCTACCCTCTTATCAGAGAAAAAAATAGCATACAAATTTTGCTGGACTGTATCAACTAAGGTAAAAATGATCATCACATCCCATTTGATCTACCCCAAACAGCAGAATGCACCTTAAAAAGCTTTTAAGAGCCAGGCTGGCACGAGTGACTCACATCTGTAATCCTAGCTACTCAGGAGGCTGAGATCTGAGGATCATGGTTCAAAGTCAGCCTGGGCAGGAAAGTCTGCGAAACTCTTGTCTCCAATAAACCACCAGAAAACTAGAAGTGGTGCTGTGGCTCAAGTGTTAGAGCACTTGACTTAAGCTGAAGAGCTGAGGGATAGCACCCAGGCCCAGAATTCAAGCCCCATGACAGACAATAAAAAAGCTATTAAGATCATAAATAAAATAGATGCAGGAATACAAGATCTCTTGGGCCTCAGTCAAGTATAACATATGATGTTACATGGATTAAATTACGTAGGGTCAACTAACCTAATCCATTACTCTATTTTAATGAATGTTCTAGCCCTTTTGGCAGTCGAGACAGAACAGTTATCTCCTTCAATTCAACATCCAAGTGGTGCTATGACTCAAGTGGTAGAATACTAGCCTTGAGCTTAAAAGAAGCTCAGGGACAGTGCCCAGGCCCTGAGGTCAAGCCCCAGGACTGGTATAAACAAAAAAGACATTAGGAAGATTAATCATATTTCTAAGTTACCTATGCAGTCCCCCATAGCTTTTAGACTCAAGGCTAGTACTCTAGCACTTGAGCTACAATTCCACTTATGGATTGTTTTTGTTTTTGTTTTGTTGTTGTTGTTTATTGTCAGTCGTGGGGCTTGAACTCTGGGCTTGGGCACTGTCCCTGTGCTCTTCAGCTCAAGGTGAAAGCTCTACCACTTGAGCTACAGTATTCTGGTTTTCTAGTGGTTTATTGGAGATAAGAGTCTCACAGACTTTCCTGCCAGGGCTGGCTTTGAAACACGATCCTCAGATCTCAGCCTCCTGAGTAGCTAGAATTACAGGTGTGAACAACCACTCGGCTTCCACTTATGGATTTTTGTTACTTACTTGGAGAAAAGAGCTTTACAGACGTTCCTACCCATGCAAGCTTTAAGCCCCAGTCCTCAGATGTCAGCCTCCTAAAGTAGCTTAGGAATTCAGGTATAACCCACTGGTGCCTGGCTAGATTACCTTTTATTTATGTGGTGTTTGTAGTTTCTGTCAGCAGAATCTGGTATACTCATGTTTTGACTAACATGTAACTAGTTTTTAGATTACTACAGATAAAATACATGAAAAGGTCTGATTTCTTGAATAAGACTGTTATATTAAAAAATAAAACAAGTATTTCTTGTTTTAGCCTATATGGAAAAATAATTTAGGTAGGTCTGTATCTTCAAAAAAATCAGAGAAGCAGGGCACCAGTGGCTCATGCCTGTAATCCTAGCTACTCAGGAGGCTGAGATCTGAGGATCGGGTTCAAAGCCAGCCTGGGCAGGAAAGTCCATGAAACTCTTATCTCCAATAAACCACCAGAAAACTGGAAGTGGTGCTGTGGCTCAAGCCGTAGAGCGCTCACCTTGAGCTGAAGAGCTGAGGGACAGCGCTCAGGCCCAGAATTCAAGCCCCACAACCGACAAAAAAAAAAAAAAAAAAAAAAAAAAAATCAGAGAAAGCTGCAATAAAGGTTAGAAATTTTTGTCATTCAAATAATGGGGCAAAGTACAACAGGAAGTTGTATGAGCATCACTAGTTACCAGAAGAAAACTCAGTTTTAAATAACAGTTGTAGTACCTTAAAGAAAATAACAATAGTGACATTGCTAGACAATTTCAAAATGAAATGTTCCCTTGTTCTCTAGAAATGTAGTAGCATAGTAGTTAAGAGTATGGCCTTGAAAGAAAGGAGGGGGTAACAATGTTTGATAGGAAATGTACTCATTACCTTACTCATGTACTCTAACCCTTCTGTACAGTATCTTTACAATTTTTTTTTGGAAATAACTTTTTTTTTAAATTGTGAACATACCGTGCAGAGGGGTTACAATTACATGGGCAAGATAGTGAGGACATTTCTTATCAAGCATTGTTGCTCCTCCTTTGTTTCTCCATACCATCCCTTCCCCTCTCCATCCCCCCATCCCCACACCCCCCTACCACCACCACCCCCACCTCCCACCCCACCAAAGTTGTAAAGTTCATTTTTCGACATAACACTTTGTACATCTCATTGATATATGTGTGTGTGTATATGTATGTATATAATGTATGTATATAAAAGAGTATGGTCTTGGAGCCAGAGTGGATTCAAGGATTGGCCCAGTTGATTTCTAGTTTGGAAACCTTACCCAAATGACTTCTGGGATTTTTTTAACCTAAAAATGTTTATCAGCAACCTTCATCTCATGGAATTCTTAGAATGTTATATAAATGAGGCTATATAAAATACTATATGACTGGCATATAATGTCATACAGTAATGAAGATGATGATAAATTCTATAACCACTAAGTGAATTACTAATAATGTTGTTACTATTAAGTTTCCAGTCCTAAGAAGATCAGAAGCAACATTTTTAAACTCAAATATAGGATACTTTAACATGATAAAATTAACCATACATTTGGAAATAAGATATTCAACATTAAAAATAATCTTTTAGCTGGGCACCAGTGGCTCATGCCTATAATCCTAGCTACTCAGGAGGCTGAGATCTGCCAGCCCAGCAGGAAAGTCTTATCTCCAATAAACACCAGAAAACCAGAAGTGGCGCTGTGGCTCAAGTGGTAGAGGGCTTGCCTTGAGCTGAAGAGTTCAGGAACAGCGCCCTGGCTCAGATTTCAAGCCCCATGACTGACCAAAAAAAAATCTTTCAGAATTTTTTTATTAAGGCCTTTCTTCAAATATTTTGAAAATATTAAAACTAAAAAATTGTATGCATTCTCATTACCTGATTCATGTAACTATAACCCCTCTGTATTTCAACTCTATAACAACAATTGAAAAAAAGACTACTGGTCCACCACATATAGAATAACTAAAGTCAGAGACAATCTTTAAAGGAATAAGAAAGACAGAAGTGACAATAATAAATGTGTCACAGTATGCTCACAGTGAGGTTGTCCAGAGATAGCATCAATAATAAAAAGAAGAGAGTTACTTGGTTTCTACTTCATTCATTACTCAATCTAGCTTAGATGCTAGAAAGAAAAAAGCCCACTTATTTCTACCCTCTCTTTCCTATACACTTAACCTTTAAAAGGGCAAGAGGAATAATCATCTTTGAACATGATGGTTGTTTCAGATTTTTCCAAATGTCAACAAGATGCTGCTTTGTTTACCCAGGCTACTGGGCACCGGTGTCTGACAGTGAATGGCAGAGAATCTGGAGAATGGGAAAAAGATCCAGCTTCAGAAACAGGATGCCAGAGCTCTGTTCTGGCACAGGAGGTATACAGGCTATAGATAGGAAAGGTATCAAGAAAACAAAAAAAGGAAAGAGAATATGTCTTTCTAGGCTTTGGAGTCACTAGTGGTTTCAAAGATCTAACAGTACTCAAACAAATGACAAACTGCAATTGCTAGAAAATTACTAATCTGAGAAATCTCTATCAGAAATATAGTTGATGATTCAAATCTCCAGAGATAACTGTGATGACATGAGTATTTCAATAGCCATAATGGCTTAGCTCTGGCAATGTTGTGAATGGAAGAATTTGGCCTCCATAATTTTGGCACTTTCTCCAATATAATACATTCTCAGGAGATGCTACTGAATGTAGAAACTTCGAGAAAAAATACATTGCCTGATGATCACTATATTTGAATATACCTTCACTTTTGCTCTGCATTTGAAATGGAGAGTCAAAGTAACTGCTCTTGGTAGGTGATTTCTTCTCCTCTGAAGGTAAACTTGAGGTAGCTGGCAGAATTTCACAGACAGAACTCAAACAATCTCCTACACTTAGTGGTGGATTCTTGGGATCTTCAAGAGTTTTTTCCTCTAGGAGCATATCAGGTCCTTCAAGCAACAATTTTTCTATAGAGAAATAGATAAAAGGAGGCTATTTTCAACACAACTACTGCTCAAATACTATTAAACAGACAAAAAAAATCTCGTTTCTAGAAATGATTTACTTAATCCATGCTATACGGAATCAACTATGAACTATTGTTTTTTTGTTGGGCTGGGGTTTGACCTTGTGCTTGGCAGGCAGGCACTATACCACATAAGCCATGCCTCCAACTCCTGAACCACAAACTTCTAGCACAAAGCACATAACCATCCCATCTTCATCATATAGTAATGGATTCTGTTTTGAAACCCAAATCGATTCATGTTATCACCTGAATTTCTCATGTTAATTTCAAAGTTCTTGCCAGTCTTGTCACCAACGATGTTAATATCCCATAAAAGCATTTTTTCTGGGCTAAGGGCATGGTTCAGGTGGTGAAGCACTTTCCTAGCATGCACAAAACTCAGTCTAATCCCCAGTACCAAATGGGGTACAGAAGCACTGGTACTTAGGAGTTTAATTCTTCAAAACTACTTATTATAACATGATCATAATGTTGGTTCCTAACACTTGCTTACTACTGGAGCAATGAACAGTTTCACTGAATAAAAGTAATGATAAAACTCCATTATCAGTTTTTAGCAAGTAAGGCTGAATGGAAAAAGGTTATTACATTTCTTTTTATCTTGGGAGAAATGATGGTATATACTTCTAAAGGTAGGGCAGTACTTGAGCTGTAAAAGTTACAGCCTAACTGCCAAACTCACTTGGGAAAATATACTTCCTTACCTCCAAGAACATCATCTCAAAGCATTCATAAGTGGTAGCAAAAGAACTTCCTCTCCCAATCCTGGAGCATGTAGATGCTATTTACCTTTAGAGGGATGTATCATTAATTTGGGCAGCTTATGAGGGGCAGCTTCAAAATGTATTGGTTCCTGAGGTCGTTTCATTCTCTGAGTTTCACTTGGTTCCTCGGTCACTGTTTTTAAAAAATGTGTTCTAATTACTATATTCTATATATGGTAATTACTATATTACTATATTCAAACATTTTTGTATCAGTATGAAATGTTTCTCAACTGTTTGCATACTATAACTTTATCAACAATGGCAGTAATTCAATTATTCATAAGCATGTGTTTACAGCATCCTATTACATATTTCTACTGAAATAATTCAATGTATTTCCAAGAGGAATATGCCTACACTTTATTTATTCTGGGTTCATCTGATCTCTCTAAATACCTAAGGAAGATGATAGTGAGGTAACTCATAAAAAGACCTGACAAGCTGGTCACCGGTGGCTCAAGCCTATAATCCTAGCTACTCAGGAGGCTGAGATCTGAAGATCATGACTCAAAGCCAGCCCAGGCAGAAAAGTCTCTGTAAGACTCTCATCTCCAATTAAGCACTCAAAAACTGGAAGTGGTGCTGTGGCTCAAGTGGTAGAGTGCTAGCTAGCCTTGAGCACAAAGAGGCTCATGGACAACGCCCAGGCCCTAAATTCAAGCCCCACAACTGACAAAAAAAAGAAAAAAGAAAAAAAAAAGACCTGAAAAAACTGCTCCCAAGATCAAGAGGAGTTAATATGAGATATGGAAAAGTAGATACTCTATTTTCTAGGTGATTCCATCTAAGGCTACTCTTACAATGAGTCTACTGCTTACTTATCAATCAAATGTACTTCTAAATAAATTAATAAAATTAAATTCCAGAAAGGGAAGAACTATTCTAGGCTAAACTTAAGTATTTCCATCACTTTTTCCCATGAATTATATTCCTGATCCATGTTAGTGAGCTAAAAATAGGATTTGACCCAAACAGAGGGTTCTGTGGAGGCAAAAATAAATCAGGAAATGATTTAGCCAGGCACTGGTGGCTCATGCCTGTAATCCTAACAACTCAGGAGGTTGAGATCTAAGGATTGCAGTTCAAAGTCAGACAGGGCAGAAAAGTCCCCATGAAACTCTTTATCTCCAATTAACCACTCAAAAAAAAAAAAAAAAAAAAAAAAAAGGAAGCCAGGTGCCAGTGGCTCATACCTGTAATCCTAGCTACTCAGGAGGCTGAGATCTGTTCAAAGCCAGCCCGGTAGGAAAGTCTGTGAGACTCTCATTTCCAATAAACCACCAGAAAACTAGAAGTAGCACTGTGGCTCAAGTGGTAGACTGCTTGCCTTGAGCTGGAGAGCTGAGGGACAGTGCCCAGGCCCAGAGTTCAAACCCCATAACTGACAAAAAAAAAAATCGAAGTGGCATTGTAGCTCAAGTAGTAAAGTGTTAACCTTGAGCCCAAAGTGGTTCAGGGACAGTGCCCAGACCCTGAGTTCAAGCCCTACAACCAACCAAAAAAAGAAAAGAATAGATTTAGCTGAGTCACACAGGTAGTGACAAATTGAAAATAAAAATCTTGAGGGGCTTTCCCCTATGGGACCTTTGCTGGTTCTAGGACTATATGCAAAAATGAGTAAGGCTGAAAGCTCTTAAAAAGAACTGGAATCTCCAAAACTCTCCTGTAGCTCAGGAAATAAAGACTCACCCAAGGAAAAGGACTAACTCAAATACTCAATAGTTTATGACTCAACATGAACTTTTTTTTGGTAGTAATGAAGTTTAAATTCAGAGCTTTGAGCTTGCTAGGAAAGCTTTCTACCACCTGAATCATATCCTCACCCCTATTTTCTAAGTTCTTCTGGAGTTTGAACTCAGGGCTTTGCATTGCTAGGAAGATGCTGTACTGTGCAACCTCTAGCCCTTTTTTGTTGTTTTGAGACAGTCTCGCTATCCCACTATGTGGCTTGAGTTGGCCTGAACACATTATATAGCTCAGATTGTCCTTGACCTCATGATCCTCCTGCCTCAGCCTCCTGAGTACTGAGATCATAGGTACATATCACCATGCCTGTCTCAATTTTGTGAATGAAGAAGAAGGCTGACAATCTGAGTTGCAAATCTCTAAAAATAAAGGCATAATGTCCTATAGTCTTTCAGGGCTTAGGAACTACAGAATTGCTAGGTTTTCCTGGAGAAGAACCAAACAGAATTATTTTCTTCCCTTTTCCTTATTTTTCTTTCTTTTTGACAATGCCAAGAACCAAGCTTGGGCCTTGTATATGCTATCCAATCACTCTACCAATAAACTACCATCAAACAAGCTTCAGTCCCAAACAAGCTGAGTCTCTGACTGGAGTTAGCCCCTGTATCTTTCTGTCTAAAAGGGAAAAGAAACAGGTAGAAATCTAGAACATCTATGGATATTTTATACATAATATTCAATATACTGAAAAAAAAAACAGATACGCAAAGAACACTGGCATCAGTAGGCAAGCATTATAATTTTGCACAATAAAAAAATGTCACCAGAGAACCTATTCTTGGTAGCAAACCAGTCAGCTGGACAGTAAACTGAAGCAACCACTGAGAAAAACTGCTTTAATGGTAACTACTAATGCTGAACCTATGCATTTCCTAGGACTTAGTAATTCTACTCCTAAATAGAAACATGATACAAAGACATACATATTTCATCAAGACACATGTACTAAAAAGTTCACCATAATGCTATTCATAATCACACCAAACAGAAAGTACCTAAATGTATACAAACAATAATAAAGGCATATTTACATAATAGAATATTATACAACAGTGAAAATGAAATGTTCTATTACATAACAAATCTTAATACGTAATACATAACAAATCTTAACATAAGTGAAGAGGGCTAGCCACAAAGAAATACTGTGATGATTCCATTTGCACTAAGCTCATAAACAGGCAAAACAAAGATGATACTAGAAGTCAGGACAGGAGTTATCCTCACAAGGATCTAAGGGGAATAGCAGATAGAAAGTGGCACTGACACATTAGGGGTTTTTCTAGAGTAATAGTAATGGCTAATTTTTTCAACCAAGATTTCACTGTTCAGCTGTGCTTACTTTGTAAACAATGAATTTTCTCTATATATTTTCTACTTCACTGACATGTCCTAAAATTGACAATTGCTAAAATATGCAAACAAGGCATTTGACAAAAGTTCCTGAGGTGGTTTTGTTGGTCATAGGGCTTGAACTGAGGGCCTGACCATTTTCCCTCAAGGCTAGCACTCTACCACTTTGAGCCATAGCACCACTTCTGGTTTTCTGGTTGTTCAATTGGAGAGAAGTGTCTCACAGTTTTTCCTGCCTGGGCTAGGAAAGTGATCCTCAGATCTCAGCCTCCTCAATAGGTAGAATTACAGGTATGAGCCACCTAAGCTGAGTGTTTTATCCTAAAAATCCGTACTCTCATTTTCTACAAAACGTACATTGAATATAATGACTGTACTAGCTCATCCTTCTTCCCTTCATTCATGTGCTCCCCCTCTGTGTCTCTGTCAAAATTGATAAACAGTACATTAGGTGTTCAGAGGAGTTACACCTTGGACTCCTCCCCTAAATATACCATCCTTTAGTCAGTTTTGTGTATGTGCAGAGAGCCATGTATATGTTATCATGCATGTTTGTATTTTAGATCAAGCTTCCACATGTAAGAGAAAACAGGTATAAGGCTAATATCTTTAAAGCCATACTTCAATATAATAGAAAATGTGTAACTGTGAATAATCATTTTAAAAAAGCCAAAATAACCCTATGCTTTAATTCTCAAGTCCATTAACACATCAAGAAATTACTTTCTAACTACATATTACACATTTGGCAAAAATGCTTACTTTAGAAAAGGATAGAAAGAGAAACTCTGCTGTATAAGATCCTCACGTATAAAATATAAAATAGAAGCATAGCATAAAAATCTTTATTTTTGTCTCACCTGGTTTATCTTGCTTTATAGGGCTATGAATATTACCCTTAAAAGAGCTAAAAGGCTGGCTACTCAAAAGGTTATCACACTCCAGGCTGTGACACAAAGTCTCAAGAAAGCGAAGAGCAAATGATGCACTATTTACTGGAGGGAGCTGGATGGCATGATTTTCTCCATCAAAGGAGGCTGTTGGGGCAGAAGAGATGTCAATATCTCACAGAGAGAGAAATAAAACATAGTAACAAAAATTGCCTCATATTAGGAAATGTATAATTCATGTTTTTTATAATTAATAAAGGAATAATCTTACACTAAAATGTTTCTCTCATTCAAACACATTTTTAACCAGAGCTTGCTCTGGTTAAAAAAAGTCTTACTTTAAAATATTTAGAAAGTAAACAGAATAGAAATCCTTTGATAAAAACATTTTCTTCTATTCCAAACATTCTACTGGCACAAATGTTGTAGTGTCTAATAACAGAATCACAGAAATCACAAGTTGCATCTTATCTTTCAATGAGTTCTTGAGTTATATTTATATTTAAAACTTCTTATAGAGCAATCTGTTTGCTATATAAATGTAAAATGTACAATTACTGAGGTACAAATACATAAAAAGAAAATTCCATACCTCATTAGAGTGATATTAATAATCACTCTAACATCATTTGTCTATTTGGCAAGTAAAGTTCCCAAAACAGTGCTAGGTCTATAAACATTCTGTAACTATTGTACATATCTCATTACAAAAGTGTAATAAAGATTATAGCACATTAATAGAATATAAATATTATAGTCTACATGTCATAAAATCCTACCTTGCCTAATTTGAAAATCAACTTTGGAAACAAAATTAAGTAAAGGATTAGATTACTATACCAGTTATCACTTCTCCTCCACGATTATCTGGCTTGAGAAATCCAAAAACAGTCTTTGCCTCAAAGGCACAATCCACGAAGGACTGCACAGTCCTACGAAGTATCACATTCACAGGGCCTGGGCCAAAGTGATCAGGAAGATTCTGGATTTTCTTTGGATCCAGGTGAGGGCCAGTGTTTCCATGTTTGTTTATATAGACACAGACTTGAGGAAAAATGTGTTCATCGACACAACAACAATAAATGAGATTAATTAAAAGAAGCTTTGCGAACATAGTACACAATTACTATATCCCATTTGTCACTCCATTTAAGGAAAAACTAAGTATGGTTAATAGTAGTGTTTCTTCTGCTACCTAAAAATATGTAGGCAAATTTATCAGCATATTTGAATACATATATTAAATATTCAATGAAAAAGTCAAAATATGTCTTCAATATTTTAGAGTTTTGTTCAAATTATATAAAAACTGTAGCATATAAGGTTTAGGAATATTCTTCATATATTTTTATACTATGTAACATGGTACAAAGAGAGATGAATATATTTCTTATTTAATTGTAAACAACATTAATTTCCTTGTGAAACTGGTCATCTTGATATATTCCTTTTTCAGACAATTTCTTTTAAATCACCATATTGTACTTCAGTTGTATTTTCTAAAATAACCAAATATTTAAAGTATATTCCATACTAAGTTCTAATCATGCATATTTATTAAGAATATAAAAATAAAGCCTGGTGCCAGCAGCTCACACCTGTAATCCTAGCTACTCAGAGGGCCGAGATCTGGTTCAAAGCCAGCCAAGGCAAGAAGGTCCATAAGACTCTTTATCTCCAATTAGCAACCAGAAAACCAGAAGTGGAGCTGTGGCTCAAAGTGGCAAAGCACTAGCCTGGAGCAAAAATCCTCAGGGACAGCACTCAGGCCCTGAATTCTGGCACCACAAACAACAACAATAACAACAAAAGACTATAAAAATATCCATTCTATATACGGCAAGGTTCACTGGAAAACTAAAATTCCTTAATAAAAGTCTAATACAGAATTCAATTATAATCTCAAATTAATCATTTTTATTTATCAGAATCAATAAATATACATCAATATACACTGTAAAAACATGCAGGTAAGCTATGCACTAGTGGCTCACATTTGTAATTCTAGCTACTCAGGAGGCTGAGATCCGAGAATCATAGTTCAAAGTCAGCCTCGGGCAGGAAAGTCCAAGAGGCTCTTATCTCCAATTAACCACCAGAAAACTAGAAGTGGTGTGGCTCAAATTGGTAGAGTGCTAGCCTTGATTGAAAAAGTTCAGGGACAGTGCTAAGGCCCTGAGTTCAAGCCCTATGTGGCCAAAAAACAAACAAAAAAACATGCAGGTATACCAACCATTATCAAAACTAAATCAAGAGGCACATTATTTTTACCTCATTAATTTTGACTGCAAACTTTCATACATAGACTGTATTTATTATTGTAAAAACCCATTAATCTGTTTTACTACATTGAAACACATGGTAATGCAACTTTGTAGCAATATAGGAAATAGAAATGCAGTGGTGATTAAAACTCAAACCAGAGTTACTGACGTCACAGATACATCCTCTCAAACACAAGCAAAGCTGAATAAGAATTTCAATGTTTTGTCTGTGCCCATCCTAGGGCTTAAACTCGTTGCCAAGGTACTGCCCCTGAGCTTTTTAACTCAAGGTTAGCATTCTACCATTTGAGCCACAGCTCAACTTTCTCCTGTTTTGGTGCTGAATTGGAGATAAGAATCTCTTTGACTTTCCTCCCTGGGCTGGGCTGACTTCATACCATGATCCTCACAACTCCAGCCTTCAGAGTAGTTAGGATTACAGGTGTGAGCCACACAATGCCTGCTAAGAATTCCAATGTTTTATCTCTTCTCTCTTATATAGATTGATTATGTCTTATCTGAAATGCCTGGGACTAGAAGTGCTTCAGATTACACAATGAGAATATCTTGGGGATAAGAGTTAGGTCTAAACACAAACTCTTATATTTCATATATGGGAAATAAATTACACACAAAACTCTTTTATATCTCATATGTGAGAAATAAATTATGTACAGACACTATTTTTACGATGTTTTTGGCACCTGTGTTTTGACTGCAACCCACCACATGAAGTCAAGGGTTTGTCACTTGTGGTATCACACTAAGCGCTCAAGAAGTTTTAAATTTTAAGCCATTTCAGATTTCAGATTTTCAGTTTACATATGGTCAGCCTGTATTTATTTAACTAATCTCTCCTAATAATGGACTGAAAGTCAGAAATAAACTGTAAACTAAGGTATGCTAAAGTAATACTTTTTAAGGTGATCTCTCTTTAAAAAAAATAAACAATGTAATTATATTTTAGTCAAGAAAGAAAAATGTTGAAGAAAAAAGTCCAAGGAAATGTGGGCACTGGTGGCTCACGCCTGTAATCCTAGCTACTCAGAAGGCTGAGATCTGAGGATCGCAGTTCAAAGCCAGTCCAGGCAGGAAAGTCCATGAGATTCTTATTTTCAATTAACCACCTGAAAACCAGAAGTGGTTGGTGCTGTGGTTCAATTGGTAGAGTGCTAGCCTGGAACTGAAGACTCAGGGACAGCGCCCAAGCCCAGAGTTCAAATCCCATGAAAGACCAAAAAAAGGAAAAGTCCAAGGAATTAGAAGAGTAGAGGGAAAATAATTAAGGACCTAGGACAGGAAGCCCTAGAACATGTTCTTTAAAAACAGGAAAGGAATAAGGAAATATGCATAGGAGATAAGAGGAATTGACTTGACTGGGTCTGTCTTCTTTCACATTCTTTACATAGCAAAGAACAGTCAAAGTCACAACACCTGACAGGCAAGGAAAGGATCTGTCAAGAGAAAGTATTTTCAAATGAATTTTTTGTGGGGGTCAGTTGTGTGGCTTGATCTCAAGGCCTGGGCACTGTCCCTGAGCTCTTCAGCTTAAGGCTAACACTCTACCACTTGAACCACAGTGCCACTTCCAGTTTTCTGGTGTTTTATTGGAGGTGAGAGTCTCATGGACTTTTCCTGTCCGGGTTGGCTTTGAACCTCGATCCTCAGATCTCAGCTTCCTGAGTAGCCAGGATTACAGGTATGAGCCACTGGTGCCCGGCTCAAATGAAAATTTTAAAACTTTGAAGTAGCTGTAGAAATACAGACAATAGCCAGGCGCCTGTGGCTCATAGTCTGTAATCCTAGCTACACAGGAAGCTGAAATCTAAGGATCGTGGCTCAAAACTAGCCCAGGCATGAAATTTCATGAGACTCCTATTTCCAATTAAGCATCAAAAATACAGAAGTGAAACTGTGGCTCAAGTGGCAGAGCACTAGCCTTGAGCAAAAATGTCCAAGGACAGAGTCCAGGCCCTGAATTCTAGCCTCAGGACCAGCAAAACAACAACAAAAAATACACACTATACAGTGGCAAAATAAAAAGAAATTGAGAATCAATTCACTAACAACATAAATGTTATAGATCTTAACATATTTTAAGACACTGAATTTTCAACTGACTTTACATATTTAAACATACATTTTTCCTTATTATCAAATTGAACAGTCATGATGACTTATAAAATGCTTTAATGTGAAAACGCTTAAGGAAATATTCACTATTATCACCTTTTTACCTCTTATTCCCAAGAATTATTTCCAGATACTGAAAACAATACAGAATATAAGGGAATTTTACAACCTGTAAAAATACTAAATTACCTGTAGACATCACTATTTTAGATGGTCCAGAACTAGCATCCTTAGAACTGCCACGGCCTCTGGTCAGAGAACGCAGAGAAGCTGAAGATGTGGAACATAATACAGGAATAAATTTTTCCTGTTAAAAACAAAGAACATGAGTTTACATTATGCTCAAAATTATAGCCAACACTGGTTCACAAAACTAGTTATCAGAAGTCCTCAGGTTGGAAATCTTCTGTGTATCATGAACTGCAGTACTTTTCAGAGTTCCTCAAATGTGCAGGAAGCGATCAAGAAGCCAAGATTCTCTGATCTAGTTCAACTCATTACGCCTTAGTCAAAATAGTTCACTATATAGAACTTAGTTTTCTGAGGTTCCTTCCATGCAATAAATTTTTTTCACACTGCTAAAGAAAAGTCTATAAATTTCTTTTTTCTTTTTTTTTTGGGTCCGGTCGTGGGGCCTGAACTCTGGGCCTGGGCGCTGTCCCTCAGCTCTTCAGCTCAAGGCTAGCGCTCTACCACTTCAGCCACAGCACCACTTCCGGCTTTTTTCTTTTTGCTTATGTGGTGCTGAGGAATCAAATCCAGGGCCTCAGGCATGCAAGGCAAGAGCTCTACCACTGAGCCACCTTCCCAGGCCTAGTTGAATATTTTGTTATTATATTTCTATCACTTATGAAATATGGGCAATTTTGATAAATTATTTCTTCAGTATTTTCTTTTTTGCCAGTTACTCTCTTTTCCACCAATTACATGAGAATTAAACCTTTTGGGGCTGGGAAGGTTGCTCAGTGGTAGAGTGCTTGCCTTGCATGTATGAGACCCTGGGTTCGATTCCTCAGCACCACATGAGCAGAAAAAGCCAGAAGTAGTGCTGTGCTCAAGTGGTAGAGCGCTAGCCTTGAGCTGAAGAGCTGAGGGACAGCGCCCAGGCCCAGAGTTCAGAAGCCCACGAATGACAAAAAAAAAAAAAAAAGATTCCAAGTACTCAAAATTATTAATAAAAAATATGTGTGTGGCTTTAGTTTAACACCTTTACAATAAAAGTGTATTGCAAAAAAGACCTCAGTATATTCTTAATAAATTTCTAAACTCTATGTAATAAATAATAAAGCATGGCAGAGAAATATAAATTAGCAAGGTATATGACTAACCTTGGTTTTCTTTGAAGTGGTAGTTTTAACAGAGCTCCCCTTCTTAGGAACTGGAATAGATTTAGGTTTTTTAATTCTACCAGATTTCCTTGTTGACCCTGTTGCTGGTGTTGCCATGGTTTTCTTCGGAGTTTGCACCAGCCGCTGGGTCTCTCCAGAAGCAGAAGATTGTGCTTCAGCTACAGCCTTTGTATCAGGAACTGAGAGAACAACACGGCAAAAAATAACAATAAAACAAAATAACATAATTAAGGCATTATCTTGTTATGAATACTTAAGTGTTTAACTTAATCTTCATTCCCAAAGCTTATTCATCAAAATAAAACAAAGGTACTATTTAAAATGTTTAATGTATATTAAGATTTCACATTATCTGAAAATTTAAAGAGACCTTTTTGTGTGTGAGCCAGTACTAGGGTTTGAACTCAGGGCTTGGGTGCTGTCCCTGAGCTTTTTTGCTCAAGACTAGCACTCTACCACTTGAGACACAGCTCTACTTCTGGCTTTTTTGGTAGTTAATTGGAGATAAGAGTCTCACAGACTTTTCTGCCCAGACTGGTTTCCAACTGCGATCCTCAAATCTCAGCCTCCTGAGTAGTTAGGATTGCAGGAAGAAGCTTTTATAAAAAGTTAGCTTTGAAACATTGAAAATTTCTAGCAGTTTTGACAACTTTCATTTTTTTCTTAACTCAGAAATCTTTCAGATGCTAAACAATTTTTGCCATATATAGTAATAATCTTTCAAATCAATATAGAAAAAACAAAGCAAAGCAACTACCTATGGCTTCTTCTTCATCTTTCAGAGGTCTGGTCACTCCTCTGCTCTTGGGTGTTTTTTTTTTAGCTTTATTGAGGTATAATTGAAAAATAAAAATTATACATATTTAAAGCTATAATACATTATATTCCTATATGTATATCAAATAATGTTTCATATACTACAATTAATACATAATGTTATCATGGAAAGGCTACTATCATGCCCAAATGATCTGTAGCTACTAGTTATCTGGTAGCCTAATCTAGTCAATTTTATTATCTTGAACAGAGATTACCTGCCAGGATTACTTTTGTCCATGTTTGAAGGCAAACGTGTGTGTGTGTGTGTGTGTGTGTGTGTGTGTGTGTGTGTGTGTGTGTGTGTGTGTGTGTACACACGTATCTCTCAACAACTGTATTAGCACTTAAAATTAAATTTTACATACTTGTTTGAAGGCAAACGTGTATGTGTGTGTGTGTGTATGTGTGTGTACACACATATCTCTCAACAATTGTATTAGCACTTAAAATTAAATTTTACATACTTGTGCCAAATAAAAATTCTTTATAGAAAGAGCTATGAAACTATTTACTTACCTGATCAAAAGCCAACTACTTGCTGGGCGCTGGTGGCTCATGCCTATAATCCTAGCTACTCAGGAGGCTGAGATCTGAGGATCGAGGTTCAAACCCAGCCCGGGCAGGAAAGTCCATGAGACTCTTATCTCCAATAAACCACCAGAAAATCAGAAGTGGCACTGTGGCTCAAGTGGTAGAGTGCTAGCCTTGAGCTGAAGAGCCCAGGGACAGCATCCAGGCCCCAGAGTTCAAGACCCAGGAAAAAAATAAAGCCAACTACATTTTTTTTTTTTTGGTCAGTCATGGGGTTTGAACTAAGACCCTGGGAACTATCCATGAGCAAATTTCTTTGCTCAAGGCTAGGGCTCTACCACTTTGAGCCACAGCTCCACCTCTGGTTTTCTGGTGGTTAGTTGGAGATAAGAGTCACGGATTCCCTTACCTGGGCTGACTTCCAACTTCGAACCACAATTCTCAGATCTCAGTCTGTGTAACTAGGATTAGAGGTGTGAGCCACTAGACCTGGTCTCCAACTACTTTTTTTAAAGATCTTCATTTTACAATTTCAAACAGTCTATTGTTTTGTTGCTGACATATTCAAAGACTAGTATGTGGTAAATTTCACCTGTGACAGAAAACATTACATTTTGCAACCTTTTTATCCACATTCTAACACTTAGCAATCCAAGAAAAAAGAGTAACACACCCCCTCACTTGCTAGGGCAAAGGAACACTTAACTGCAACCATTGGTTTTACAAATAGTTGGAAGCCAGGCCAGCCCTGACAGATAAATCCTTGAGACTTTTATCTCCAATTAATCACCAAAAATGCCAGAAGTAGAGCTGTGGCTCAAGTGGTAGAGTACTAGCCTTGAGCAAAAAAGGCTCAGGGCACAAAACATCTTTTTGCTAAAGGTGTGTGATATATAAGCAGGGAATATGCTACTCACCTTTAATTTAAAAAAAAATTATATGAACACCTAGCCAGGTGCCAGTGGCTCATACCTATAATCCTGGCTACTTGGGAGGCTGAAACAGAAAGGTTCACAGATGGAGGCCAATCCAGGCCTCCAGGTGATTGAAATCCAAGAATTAATATTCAAAATTTTAGCTCACAAAGTTCTGTCTTAGTCTGTCCTATCTCTTCCTATTACATACACATAATTAAAAACAGACTCAAGCTGGGTGCTGGCGGCTCACGCATGTAACCTAGCTATTCAGGAGACTGAGATATGAGGATCGTGGTTCAAAGCCAGCCTGGGCAGAAAAGTCCATGAGACTCTTTTCTCCAATGAACCACCAGAAAACCAGAAGTGGCATGTAGCTCAAGTGGTCGAGTGCTGGCCTTGAGCTGAAGAGCTGAGGGACAGCACCCAGGCCCAGAGTTCAAGACCCATGACCAACAACAACAGCAAAAAAACAAAAACAAAAAACAAAAAAAAACAGACTCAAAACTTTTACTATTTGTTACTATTAACACACTGTGTAAGCTATACCCACTAACCTCCCAGCATCTACATTCCCACCTATCACAGAGTATTATAGTGAATGTAACAACTCTAAAATCTGCTTAACTAGCCACTGTCTTTGTTCTAGGGTTCACATCCATATATGCTACTATCCAATGGACTTATGTACTTGGATGCCCCAGTTACGCTGTATCAGTTAGAATTAAATTCACCTAAAAGTAAGAGAAAAGGCTAAAATAGTATAGCTAAATACTTAGTTTATTTCAGTTTATCTCTCTCAAAGAACAGTCTGGAAATGAACTATATAGACTAATATGAAGTTCTTCCCTACAAGGAACTACAACTCCTTCCTGCTTTCCACTCTGTATTACCTATGAGTCCCTATCACATGGTCTAGGAAAGTAACTCACAGCCAAAACCACACTTCTAGTACCAGGATAGAAGCAGGAAAAAGGAATAAAGGAGGACACAGTTCAATTCTCTATAATATACTTCCTAGAAGTGGAACACACTGTGTGTACTTAAGACTCATAGGTGTACCATACTGCTAGGGGCAGGAAATATAGACATTACGCGAGGCATATAAACTGTATCATGAAGGGAAAAAAAGGTAGGAACTTTTACTGGAGGACAACAACATTCTCAATCTCACATTCCATTTGTGTCCCCCAAAAAACTCACCTGTTTTCATGATAAAGTGAAAATTTATACCTTTGTGATAGGTTCACCTTACCTGCATTTCCATTCAGTCTAACACTAACATCTCTCTTAATAGTCATATCACCTGTCATTTTTTCTTACTTTCTTTCTTTTTTTGGGGGGGGGTCCAGTCGTGGGGCCTGAACTCTGGGCCTGGGCGCTGTCCCTCAGCTCTTCAGCTCAAGGCTAGCATTCTACTACTTGAGCCACAGCACCACTTCCGGCATTTTTCTTATGTGGTGCTGAGGAATCGAACCCAGGGCCTCAGGCATGCAAGGCAAGCGCTCCACCACTGAGCCACCTTCCCAGCCCCGTCATTTTTTCCTTTACCCAATTACTTTTCATTCTAGCTCAGATTAGAAGTTTTTGATTGCCTCTGTATCAATAGCACATCTTTATTTTTTAATTCTTCATTGTATTTTACATATGTATCCTTCCATCTCTCTTCAACTGGAATGTAAACTTCTTGAGAACAGAGAGTATGCTTTATCTTAGCATCATATGCACCTAGATCTGTATCATATAAAATTTTACAAAATCAGCCACTAGTTACTACTTCCTAGAGTTTTGGCAGCAAGAAACTGGTAAGGTTCCTAATAAAAAGAACATCATAAAAACTAGAGTGGTAGAGCTCTTGCCTTGAGCAAAAAATACAAGCAAGAACATGTATTCCTGAGTCCAAGCCCCAGTACTGGCACAAAAAAAGTTTTAGAGTAAAAAAAAAAAACATGATGGCCTGGCAATGTGGCTTAGTGGTAGAGTGCTTGCCTAGCATCCCTGGGTTCAATTCCTCAGTACCACATACACAGAAAAAGCCAGAAGTGGCATGGTGGCTCAAGTGGTAGAGTGCTAGCCTTTAGCAAAAGAAGTTTAGGGACAGAGTCCAGGTCCTGAGTTCAAGCTCCAGGACTGGCAAAAAAAAATCATGATATATAGTACTGTAGTATAATAGCATATAATAAAGTCTACCCTCTTCTGCATACCTCACCTACTCATTTTCTATATTTACCTTTTTCTGATAATTTAGCAAGGTAAATTTTGTCTAAAATTGATTATATTAAACTTAGGCCAATGACTTGGTTCTATGCTTAGACCTGATTTAAATGTCAGGAGTTAATTCTATCACTGAAGACCATGTTAGACATGTCTCAGCCCTTGGAAGCTCCAAGGAACTTCAATATTTTGATGACTTTTCTCTGAAAGAAAATATAATCATAATATTCAACTTAGGAAACCTAACATTACAAGTGACAAACATTACCAAAGCTAAAATAACATAGAAATCTAAAATGGCTTCTAGAGAATTAAAAATTTTCACTCACATGTAGATTCTACTTAAGATTATCTACTTATTGATGTAAATTGAAAGTAGGACAAAAATCTTATAAACCCCGCTTTCAATAGTTGTTAAACTCAACATTTAAAAATTAACAGCCAGGCTCCATGGCTCATGCCTACAATGCTAGCCACTCGGAAGGCTAAAATCAGAAGGACCATGGTTCAAGGCTAGCTTTGCAAAGTTCATGAGACCTCTTTCTCAACTAAGTACTTGGTATAGGGGTACATGCTTATCAATCTAGTTTCTTTGGAGGGCTGAGTTCAGTAGGATCACAACTGTAATTCAGCTCAAGCAAAAAAGCTCATGAAACTCCATCTTAACAGAAAAAGCAGAGTGTGGTGCACTTGTCATCTAAGCTATAGCAGGAGCATAAAATAAGAGGATCTAGCCATGTGCCAGCAGCTCACACCTGTAATCCTAGCTATTCAGGACGCTGAAATGGGATCACGGTTTGAAACGAGCCCAAGCAGGAAAGTCCATGGGACTTTTATCTCAAATAAACTACCAAAAAAAAATGAAAGTGGCAATGTGGCTCAAAGTTGTAAGCACTAACCTTGAGCAAAAGAGTTCAGGGACAGCACTCAGGGTGAGAGGTCAAGTCCCACAACTAAGGGGAAAAAAAGCCAGAAGTAAAGCTGTGACTCAAGTGGTAGAGGGCTAGCCTTGAGTAAAAGAAGGTCATGGACAGTGTAAGCCCTGAGTTCAAGCCCCAGGACTGGCATAAAATTTAATTTGAAAAAAAAAAGATCAAACTTTAGGTACAAGTCTGAGCAAAAACAAAACCCTATTTCCAAATAACCAGTGCAAAAAAATGGAGGCATATCTCAGTCCTAAAGCACTTGCCCATCAAGCATGAAGCCCTAAGTTTAATCCCAGGAGTGCCCAAAATTTATGTTTAAGATATAAGAACAGTGGCTGGGAAGGTGGCTCAGTGGTAGAGTGCTTGCCTCACATGCTTGAGACCCTTGGTTCAATTCCTCAGCACCACATAAGCAGAAAAAGCCAGAAGTGGCACTGTGGCTCATGTGGTAGGTAGAGTGCTAGCCTTGAGCTGAAGAGCTGAGGGATAGTGCCCAGGTCCAGAGTTCAAGCCCCATGAACAGAAAAAAAAAGATATGAAGAATGGGCCAGGTGCTGGTGGCTCATGCCTGTAATGTAGCTACTCAGGAGGCTGAGACCTAAGGCTTACAGTGCAAAGCCAGCCCAGGAAGGACAGTCCATGAGACTCTTTTCTCCAATTAACCACCAGAAAACTGAAAGTTGAGCTGTGGCTCTAAGTGCTTAGAGTACCAGCCTTGAGCAAAAAGAGCTCAGGGACAGCATCTAAGCCTTGAGTTCAAGGCCTACCACCACCACCAAAAACAAAAAGAACAATGGAATAACAGGTGTAAAAATATTTTTGGGTGCTGAAGATACAACTTAGGTCTTATGAATGCTATTCATACACTCTACCATTTAGTTATTCCCAGACTCCATATGCAATTTTTAATTGAATAATTACAAGAGTAGCTTATCTCCCATCTCTCCATTCAATTACTATAGCAAAAAGACTTCATAGGTTCAAATGTGATCATTAGCTTTTGTCCATAATCTCCAGTAGGGAACTGGAACTTAGATGATGATGAGGTCTTCAAGAATTCTAATCATACCCTCACTTGATCTCTGGTTCTCCAAACTAGACAGTGATCTTGCTAACCTTTCTACAATCTAGTTGGGCAATGAAATACTAACACTACTAATGCTAACATAATGTCATTGGATTTAATTTCAGTAAAAATTTAAAAACCCGTATCATTACTTATTAGCTTACCCTTTTTTCCAATTGGCTGTAATACATCTCCTGTCAGGCAACACCACCCAACTGGGAAGAGATCTCTGGAGTCATACTTGCACCAATAATCAAATGTTCCACTCCAACCATCAAACTGAACATAGACTTTATCTCCTTTAACATCTCCAATGGTTGCCGGGCAGATAAAGAAAGGATTCTTTCTGTCAACCGCCTCCAGTTTCATCCCCACTTTAAAATTATTTAGGGGTGGCTTTGGTGGTTCCTACCAAGACATTTTTAGGGAAAAAATGCTTTTTACTGTGTAAATATATTAATAAACATTATCTCAAATGTGCTTTTATAAACCTTAGCAACCAAAAACTAAATTCCATATTTATCAATTAATACAGGAAGAAAGAATTTCTCAGATTAGAAACTCTGCTCTCCAACATCTCACTTTTTTCCCTACAGAGCTAAGAACCTGGAAAGAAATAAAATCAGACTAATCCATTCACATTCAAGAAATACATTCTTTTAGGTATGTACCAGGAATATTAAGATTCATTGGTGAAAAACAATAGCAAATATCATTCCTCTGGTAAACTGTACATTCTAGTAGTACTAGTAAGGCCTGACTGGGGACAAGGGAAAGTAATCAACAAGAAACTTGAACACAGACAAGGAGAAATGGTCAAATATAAATCCCAAAAATATTTGGGATATATTTTTAAAGTAGAGCCAACAGGATTTCCTTAGACTGTTAGAAAGAAGTGTTCACCAAGGCTTATGTCCTGATCACCTGGAAAGATGGCTGTCCTGAGCTGGGGAGATTGCAGGTACAAGTCTAAAATTTCTATTAGATATCCAAATGGAGATGCTCTCAATAGGTAAGTAGCTCGATAGAGAAGTTTAAGTTAGAAGCAAAAGGTCTGGATACGAAATATAAATTTGAAAGTCATCTGCGTATTATCTATATTTAAATCTAGGAAATATAATATATTCCAAAGAATGCAGATTAAAGGTTTCTCAGTCTTGGCACTACTGACATTTGGGGAAAGAATGTCCTTTGATGTGGGAGCCTTTCTATGTGCTTAGGAGTTTAGCAGCATTCTTGGTCTCTTCACTAGATGTCAGTAATACTACCAACCCTCTCACAGTGCAAAACTGTAAGATATCCCTAATGGGAACTGAATTATCTCCTCTTCTCAACTGAGAACCACTGATACAGAAGAGGACCAAAGATCCAAACATTCCATCATTCCCCTCAAAACAAGAGTACAGAGCATCATGTCATTACTCTCTTCTTAGTACCCTAAACCAAGGTATTTCCTTATTCTTGCCCTATTATCTCAAAAACTTATTAGTTCATTACCAGCATCTGCTTCACTCAATTATTTATATTTAGCTGCTAAGCACTGCTGGAGAAAAGTCTCAAATGCTTATTACCTGTAGTGCGATGTATTTTCATGCTTTTTCAGCTGAGCCATCCAAAATAATGGCATGTGTCCCTAGATTTTTCTCCCCTTCAATTCCATATAGTAACTATTCCAAACCTTTACTGTTCTCAAGGTTAATTATATATTCTCATTATTTTATTATTTAATTTGACTGACTTTCTTCCTAACCAGAGAGTAAGCTTGCTGCATAGTAGACATTCAACTTATGTATGAATGCATGAGGCCCTGGGTTCCATTCCTCAGCACCACATATGCAGAAAAAGCTGGAAGTGGCGCTGTGGCTCAAGTAGCAGACCACTAGCCTTGAGCTGAAGAGCTGAGGGACAGTGCCCAGGCCCAGAGTTCAGGCCCCATGACAGACAAAAAAAAAAAAAAAGAGTGGGAGTGGGGAGTGGAGAAAGGGAAGGGATGGTATGGGGAAACAAAGGAGGAGGAAACAATGCTTGATAAGAAATGTACTCATGGGGCTGTGAAGGTAGTTCAGTGGTAGAGCACTTGCCTTGCATGCATGAGGCCTGGGTTTGATTCCTCAGCACCATATAAGCAAAAAGAAAAAAGCTGGAAGTGGTGCTGTGGCTCAAGTGGTACAGCGCTAGCCTTGAGCTGAAGAGCTGAGGGACAGCGCCCAGGCCCAGAGTTCAGGCCCCATGACCGGACCCCCCCCCCAAAAAAAAAAAGAAAGAAAGAAATGTACTCACTATCTTGCCCATGTAATCGTAACCCCTCTGTATGGTATTTTCACAATAAATAAATAAATAAATAAAAAACCAGGAAAAAAAAGATACTTTAAAAAAAATGAATTAAGAAGGGGATCTAATTGTTTTAAGAAGTCAGCCAGGAAAAATCATCATGAGGTAAGACAGCTTTAAAAAGAAACCTGGCAACTGCAAACCAGATAAAACAGGACGTAAAAGGTATACCGAGAAATTTGCATTTGATCTTAGTTGTCACTGGGTTTCAAAGCACAGGAATGAATGTTATGGTTAAAATTTTTGTGTCAGAAACACATTTCCAGCAGTTGTGTGGAACAGTTGAAGATTAGGAAGAGTTAAATGGTTAATTTAACAGTCAAGTGAAGTCTGCATGAGAGACAGTGGTGGTACTTTTAGAAAAGGAACATGGAAAGCAGTATGGAGGTTCCTCAAAAGACTCCACATAGAGCTCCCCTATGACCCAGCAATCCCACTTTTGGGCATTTACCCAAATGATCACAAACAAGACCACACTAAAGCTACCAGCACAACTATGTTTACTGCAGCATTATTTACCATAGCTAAGATATGGAACCAACCCAGATGCCCCTCAGTAGATGAATGGATCAAGAAAATGTGGTATATATACACAATGGAATTCTATGCCTCCATCAGAAAGAATGACATTGCCCCATTTGTTAGGAAATGGAAGGACTTGGAAAAAATTATATTAAGTGAAGTAAGCCAGGCCCAAAGAAACATAGGTCCCATGGTTTCCCTTATTTGCAATAACTAGTATATATCTGAGACAAGCATAAATGGTCAGATAAGTTGATGTTAAGTAATGAACCCCAAATTAAGGACTCAAATGTTTTTTTCTTGCTATTGTTTCTAACATATTTATAAGATATTTCTTTGTTGCTTTGTATGTCCCTCCCCTACGGTATAACCTGTTTTCACTGTATTTGATGTTGGTATAATTTGTGGAGGGGAAGGGAAAAAACAAATTGTTTAAATAGGGATACAGGTGGACCCATGGCACCAATGAGATGTACAAGACGTTATGTCAAAAATGAACTTTACAACTTTGACGTGCAGGAGGGGGGGTGGCGGCGGCGGGGGGAAGGAGGGGAGAGAGAGATGGGAAGGGATGGTAAGGGGTGAAACAAAGGAAGAGGCAACAATGCTTGATAAGAAATGTACTCATTACCTTGCCCATGTAATTGTAACCCCTCTGTACGGTATTTTCACAATAAAAAAAAAAAAGAAAGAAAGAACAAAGAAATAATTAGGAAGCTACATGGTAGAGCTTCCTGATTAATTGGCTATCTAGATGCCAGGGTCAAGTTTCAAGCTTGGCTGAAAAGGGTACACACAAACTAATAAGAAAAGAAATTCAACAGAAAACTCTTGCACAAAATTAAGGGCAAAAAAAACCACTTAGCAGGTTATGTAACAATTAAACACAACTGACAATAATGCAGCACTGAGAGTTTCTCCACATCAAATGAACTGTGTAATGAACATGCAGGAATTAAAATTTTTTGTTTTCAAATTTTTTAATTTTTTTGCTGGTACTGTGGCTTGAAATTTGTGCATGGGTGCTGTCCCTGAGTCTTTTTGTGCTTAAGACTAGCGCTCTACCCCTTGAGCCACACCTCCACTTCTGACTTTTACTGAGTGGTTTATTGGACATAAGAGTCTCACAGACTTTCCTGCTCAGGCTGGCTTTGAACCGTGATCCTCAGATCTCAGCCTCCTGAGTAGCTAGGATTACAGGGATTAGCCACCAGCATCCAGCAAAATTTTTATTTTTTTAACTTATTATTTTTGACTGCACTTGGTCAATACCATTTGTAATAAATCCACAAATAAAGTTCCCCTGTAATCCCAGCTACTCAGGAAGCAGAAATAGGGAAGACCACTTTTCAAGATTAGTCTAGAAAAAACAAAGAAGTTGACAAGACTCCTATCTCAATAATACAGGTATGATGCTGAATGCCTGTGGTTCCAGTTAAATGGGAGGCTCACAGCTAGAACTGACACCTGACGCTGGCCCAGGACAAAAAACATGAGGCTCTACCAAAATAACTAAAGCCACAAAGGATTGGAGCCTTGGCTCAAATGGCAGAACATATGCCAAGAAAATATTAGGAGCCTGATGTCAAACTACAGGCCCACAAAGAAAAAAAATCCTCAAAAAGAGTGGGCTGTTTATTTTGGAATGGGGTCTTCAATGAAATATGTTAAGATAAGGTCTAATTAGGGTGGATTTTAATATGCAAGATTATACAAGGAAAGTAGAACACAGACACATAGCCCATGTACAAATACACAGAACATAGCATCTACAAAGAGGCTGCAACGTAACCAAGCTAGCGTATACCTTGACTCAGACTCTGAGCCTCCAGAACTATGACAAAATAAATTTCAATTATCTAAGCTAATACTAAGAGCTGAATTATGACATATGCATCCCACCACCAAATTCCTATGTTTAAGCACTAACAACCAAAGCACTAGTATTCAGAGACAGGGCTTTAATCTAGCATGACAGGTATAATAAAACAAGGATAAAACCTGTAAGATGTGCACACAAAGATGCCATTCAAAAACTCAAGAAGACAGCTACCTATATGCCAATGATTGGCCTTACTAGAAACAACCTTGAAGGCACTTTAATCTTAAGACTTTCAGAACTGTGAGAAAATAAAATTTTACGCCACCCAGCCTGTGGTACTTTTTATAGTGACCCTAACAAACTAATAACCTTACTAATCTAATAATTTAAGAAGTATTATAACACCTTCCTCACCATCTTGAATAATGTAGCAGATGCCATCTCAGCTTCATTTAATGTCTTCAGGAGAAACATAGGCCAAGATGACACACTCATCTGGTATCCTATTTCAAAAAATAAATTAGGTATCATGAAGAAACTTCCCAGTGATGCTAGCAGGTTAAATATTAAAAAAAAATAGATTTCATTCACCATTCCTCTTACGAGAATGACTTTTTAAATTTATTTGTATTTGTATTGCTATTGTAAGGTTGATAGGAGTTATAGTTACATAAATCAGGTAATGAGTATAATTCTTTTTTAACCCTGTCTCCCCTTAGCTGGCTCTCTCCCAGTTTTTTCCTCTTGTTTCTTTTTTATGGACTTAAGGACATAGACAAAAAGAACAGATCCATTCTCTTTTTGTTACTTTTAGAAACTTTCATTTCAGAGAGCTACTGGCTACAGTTCACCAACAAACATGTACACGTTTAGAGATGGGTCATAACAGTAAAGTCAGACCCCAGAAAGAGATTCCATTCTACCATTAACAACCAAAAAGGCACAGGCAAAGGTTGCAAATGACTCCTTAGAACTATACATATAGTTAAACTTAAAACTATACATATAGCAATGCATTTAATTGTATGTGTTATTGCAAAATAATAAAAACCCTATAGCCAGGTGAGGTGGCTCATGCCTATAAATCCTAGCAACCCAGGAGACTGAAAATGGGAGGATCACAATTTGAGTCCAACCTGGGCAAAAAGCCTAGAAAGCACCATCTCAACCACCAAAAAGCTGGGCACAGTGGTGTGCACCTATTATCTTAGCTTCATGAGAGACATAAATAGGAGAACTGCAGCCAGGCCAGACCAGGCAAAAAACAAGACCCTATTTTTTAAATAATGAATGTAAAAAGGAGAGTTAGGGGCATGACTGAAGTAGCAAAGTGCTTGCCAACAATTGTAAGGCCTGAGGTTCAAACCTTAGGGCCACCAATTTAAAAAAACTATAAATATTTATTCTGGTTACTGATACACATGCTGAAGTATTTAAGAGAAGTTTACTAATGTCAATAACATCAATAACTAAAGATGAATTGATAAATCAATAGAAAGGTGATTTTTAAAAATCCAGTAAGCACAGTAAAATAAATAATTGAAACCCAGAGTCTACTTGACACAGCTTCTCTTAACTCCCATTTTATCCTGTGCTATTATTCAAGATTTTTCTAAGTATAACATTTTTCTTAATTCTATAATTGCCTAAAGTCAGACATAAATTAAAATAACAAAAAGATAAAGTACAGGGCCGGGAAGGTGGCTCAGTGGTAGAGTGCTTGCCTTGCATGCATGAGGCCCTAGGTTCTATTTCTCAGTACCACATAAGCAGAAAAAAGCCGAGTTCAGGCCCCACAACTGACAAACAAAAATAACAATAATAATGTTATTTTAAAACTGTCCTGCTGGGCGCTGGTGGCTCACGCCTGTAATCCTACCTACTCAGGAGGCTGAGAACTGAGGATTGGGAAGTTGAGATCTTAGGAGTATGGTTCAAAGCCAAAAGTCCTTTGGACTCTTATCTCCAATTAATCACCAGAAGGCTGAAACTGGTGCTGTGACTCAATTGACAGAGCATTTACCTTAAGCTGAAGAGCTCCAGAGTTCAAGCCCCATGACCAACCAAAAAAGCCAAAAACTGTTTATCCTACTCATAGGCAAGAATCACAAGAGGCACAATGCCTAAGTGCCTCTTCATATTTATATAAAATAATATACATACTGAAACAAACTCCAAGACATGAAAACAATAGACTTTAGTTTTTAGATTTGGTGATTCTGTCTTCTTTACCTTATGCATGATGGATTCATATGTATATCTTCAGGGAGGGCACAGAACTTGAGGGGGAAGGGGGGGAAAAGTGCAACAGTGGAGGGCACTGGACACTGGTGAAAGTGAGAGACAGGAGGAAGGGACTAGGAGAGAATGAGGGATCAGAAGACACTGTTTGAAAGGAAATGTACTTATTTTACCTGACATGCAATTATAATTCTCTAATATATCATCTCTATAATAACAATAAAGTAAATTATTTTTTAAAGAAATATTGCTAATCCTTACCTAATGGAGGCTGAAGAAACTGTCCTTTCCTTTCACATGTTCCAACGGGTTGAATGTCTGAGGAATCAACAAGTCTCCAAAAGTCATTCTTATCATCACTACCATCCAGCCGTAAATGTACTCTGGCCCCAATACATTCAATGACGGTGGCGACACATATTGAAGTCATATTCCGAGGGTCACGGGCTTCCAATTTCATGCCAATTTTGAAGTCATTAGTTGGTGGAATCTCAGACTATATATAAATATAAGTATGTTAAAATGCATGAACTCTAAGAAAAACATCACACAGTAATCAGCAAAGTGTAAATGAGGTTAACACTCCAAGGGCTATGGAAAAAGAACTGCTCCCAGCTTCCTTCTTGGCTTGACATGAAGAATAAAAACACTGCCCATACTAGTCTCTCTCACCTGACCACATTCAGGTAGCCCAAATAGGACCTCTAAAATGCACCTCGAGTGCCTTTCCAAAAGAAGAATCTGACCAGGCTCTTCTGCCTAAAAATAAGCCAACTAGTAGTTCATCACTGCTTATGATAAAGTCCAAAATCTCTGCACAGTTAAACACCCTCACACCTTTAACCCTAATCCCACACTATTACTTCTATCTACTCTGTGCTCTAGCTATCCTATAGCATGTTCCAACAGTCAAGATTCCTTCACACTCCTGTGCTTTAGCTTCAAGTGTTTCCTCTTCATAAAACATCTTTCCCGCCGGGCGCTGGTGGCTCACGCCTGTAATCCTAGCTATTCAGGAGGCTAGATCTGAGGATCGCGGTTCAAAGCCAGCCCGGGCAGGAAAGACAGTGAGACTCCTATCTCCAATAAACCACCAGAAAACCGGAAGTGGCGCTGTAGCTCAAGTGGTAGAGCGCTCGCCTTGAGCTGAAGAGCTGAGGGACAGCGCCCAGGCTCAGAGTTCAAGCCCCACGACCGACAAAAAAAAAAAAATCTTTCCCTCCACTCCAACCATCCCGAACAGCATCTTTTCTATGAAGTCTCCCATATAAAGTTATCACATTTCTTATAATTATGTATATACCTGTATATTCCTCCAGATAAGCAAGCATATATACTTAACATAGAGTAAATTCATGAGTGAATGCAGAGACCATTTGACTTCTATGTGGTACTACCACAATCTACTTTCTCCTCAAACTCCAGAGCCTCATAATCACACAGAACCCTTCAACAAGTTAATGGTTTCCATTAATACATACAACATCTACAGAATTTTGGCATACCTGTCTGAAGCATTCTGAAGGAGCACTTATGGATCCAGTTTCTTTCAAATATTCATCCCAATTAAAATAATCTGAAAAAATATATATATACACGAAATGGGTTTGGGGTATATATTATCTATACTAACTTTCAGAATAAAATGGGTTTTTGTTCCATGCCTCTTTCAAAAATACTTTCTAAAGAGAAGATTCAATTCTTGGTCTATATTTGATTATCACCATGACATTTAAAATAAAAAACTTTTCTGATAATAATGTCTCTGTATAAATTTCAACCCAGATCCTCTCAATGAATTGAGCACTAAAGTACAACAATTCGAAGTGATTCTCAAAATACGGTCTCAAAATGTGACTCAGTAGCAGAGTGCTTGCTTAGCATTCATGAGGTTCTGGATTTGATGACCAACACTTAAAAAAGAGGTGAACACTAGAAACAAATAAAGGAATTTTGATAGAGTAACAGCAGTTTATTTACCTGATTCCAATACACATTTATTCAGTAAATGTGTTTGCATAAATGTGTTTGTACTGCTCTTATTTCACTTCATCTATATCAACTTATCTCAAGTACAACGAAATTTTTTTTGCCAGTCCTGGGGCTTGAACTTAGGGCCTGGGCACTGTCCCTGAGCCTCTTTCTACTCAAGGCTAGCACTCTACCACTTGAGACACAATACCACTTCCAGCTTTTACTGGGTAGTTTATTGGACATAAGTATCTCAGGGACTTTCCTGCCCAGGCTGGCTTTGAACCATGATCCTAAGATCTCAGCTTCTTGAGTAGTTAGGATCACAGGCATGAGCTGCCAATGCCCAGCTAAAACAATAGAATTTTAAAGTATAATATTTTGTCAGTATTGAGGTTTAAACTCATAATTTCACATTTTCCCAGTCTGCTTGATTGGTTAGTTGGCACTCTACCATTTGAGCCATACCTCCAGTCCAGCTTTGTGTTGTTTTATTTTAGGGTGGGAGTCTCTACAACTTTCTTCACAAACTGGTTTAAAACTTTGTTTCTTTGCTGGGCATTGGTGGTGCATACCTGTAATCCTACCTACTCAGGAGTCTGCGATCTGAAGATTGCAGTTTGAAGCCAGCTTGGGCAAAAAGCCGGTAAGAATCTTATTTCCGATTAACTACCAAAAGATCTAGAAGTGGATCTATAGCTAAAGTGGTAGAGTGCTAGCCTTGAGCAAAAAATCTCTCAAGGCCAGTGCCTAGGCTCTGAGTTTAAGTCCCAAGATAGGCCGGCAGAGATATAACTTTGATTCTTTGGATCTCAGCCTCCCAATTAGCTAGGGTTACAAGGATGAGCCATTCAACACCTGAATCAATTGTTTTACTTTTGCTATTGCTTAGATTTGGTATTTACAGGAGCTTACTATATACAGACTATACCAAAAGCAATAATAAAAGGTTCCATTTTTAACACTGAAGGAGAAAGAAACTGACATTGTATTAAACTACTTTAAAACTTACCACTTTGCACAGATGATCTGCTTGAATCAGAGGGTTTCTCTTCATCAACCTTCTTGACAGCCATCGACTCTAACAAAAAAAAAAAAATAACAATACCACAAGGCTATACCAACAACCTGAAAGAGCAACTACAAAATATAAACTATTAGGGACCAATTTTAATTTTATGATTAGTATTTTTATTTTCTACATAGGTCTAATCACTTCTATAATATACCATGTATTTTATAACTTACTCCTTAATTTCACTTACTATACGTCTCACTCTACTCAAATGAAAAATCCATAACATCAGGAACTGATTTTTTTTTCCATCTTGCTCACTGCTGTATTCACAGTGTCCAGAATAGGACCTAGCACAAAAAACTCAAGTGTTTGTTACATGAATGCATTAATAAATCAAAATGAGTTGATCTTTAAAATAACATGCTCAAGAAGTGAATTTAAAAGGGTTTTGAGTGTAAAAAATATAATGTGAAAACTAGAATATGACACAATTCAACTGAGTAGGCAAAGAATTCAAATAACATTGAACCCTTGATACTTCACCTCTTCATTTCATCCACATATATCATAGTATGTATCTCTGAAAGGACAGACTTGGTTTTTGGGTGGTGGTGTTTTTTTTTTTTGTCAGTCGTGGGGCTTGAACTCTGGGCTTGGGCGCTGTCCATGCGCTCTTCAGCTCAAAGCAAGCACTCTACCACTTGAGCCACAGCACCACTTCTGGTTTTCTAGTGGTATATTGGAGATAAGAGTCTCATGGAGTTTCCTGCCCGGGCTGGCTTTGAACTGTGATCCTCAGATCTCAGCCTCCTGAGTAGCTAGGATTACAGGCATGAGCCACCAGCACCCAGCCAGACTTGTTTTTAAAACTTAAGCATAATACTAAACAATTAATCATGATTCCTTAATATCATCAAATAATCAGTCAGTATTTTTATTTCTCTCATTGCTTCATTCTGTTTTAAATTCATTACTATCAGTTACATAAGGGGGTTGGATTTTAATATGTCCATATATACATACAATGTACCATTATCTTAAAAGTATATGCTCCAATTCAGATGCCAGGTTCCCATACAGCAGTGGTTGATATCTCTTAGTTCACTTTTACTCTATAGTAGTTCCTTCTCCTTTTTTTTCTTTTTTGTCGTTATAAATTTTTCACTGACAATAAAGTTAATTGTTCTTTCAGTTTTCCAGTCTGGAATTGACTACCTAGATCCATTAGTTTATTAATGGCAGCAAAATGGAAGGACTATCGTCCTTTCTAAATAATCTAGACAACTTCTATGAAACTTGTCTTCAACTATGTACTACTAATACATTATTTCCTTTATTCTCCAATTTTCAAAATGACAAGTGAGACCTTTTTTTGGTACTGATACTAGAGCTTGAACTCAGGGCATGAGCACTATTCTTGAGCTTTTTTGCTCAAGGCTAGCACTCTACCACTTAGGCCACAGTTCCACTTCTGCCTTTTTTTGGCAGTAATTGGAGGTAAAAGGTTCACGGGCTTTCTTGCTTGGGCTGGTTTTGAATTGTTTATTGTGATCCTTAGATCTCAGCTCCTTAAGTAGCTAGGATTATAAGTGTGAGCCATTGGTGCCCAGCCTGTAGGACCTCTTAACACTCTCCACAAATCACTAGTAGGTGATTTGTTAGTATCATGAACTCATGGATTTAAACATTCTTGATTTATTTCTCACTGTTTTAAACTTATATATGCTCTGTCAAGTCATAAGCTTCTTTTTTTTTTGGGTGGGGGGGTCCAGTCGTGGGCCTGAACTCTGGGCCTGGGCGCTGTCCCTCAGCTCAAGGCTAGCACTCTACCACTTGAGCCACAGTGCCACTTCCGGCTTTTTTTTTCTGCTTATGTGGTGCTGAGAAATCAAACCCAGGGCCTCATGCATACAAAGCAAGCACTCTACCACTGAGCCACCTTCCCAGCCCCTCTTGAAAGCCTTTTAAATGTTGTATTTCAAGGTAATCTATCTACCTACTTGTTTTGACTGAAGGACCCTTCAAGATAAATGAATACTTGAAAAAGATATGTGAGCTGCTTTCTGTTTAAATTATTTGGCTGAAAAACCTACACATTTACATTTAGGAAGTGAGTAATGTGAAAATGTAAAAGTATGGCTCCTGTTCTAGAGAAATAAAAATACTAGTGTTAAAACTACATTAAACTAAGTAATTAAACAAAGAAATTAAACAAAATTAGTTACATTTAGCCAGAGGAAGAGTGAGTATGTGATTGTGTTTATTGTTTTGGTAATGCTGGGGGCTAAACCCAGGGCCTTGCACATGCCAAGAAAATAGTACTGAACTACCCCCAAACCTAGACGATGTGAATTCTAACTTTGGCTTTTCATAGATTATTTTAATACCTGTTCACTTATCTTCCCTGAGTTTCAAGCTTTTTTTATTTATAGAAGTAGGAGAGAAAGATATGATTCCTATAACAGCAATTCCATTCAAAAACTTCCTATTCTAAACACCTACTAGCTCTTATTTTTTTGTGCTGGTATTGGGGCTTGAACTCAGGGCCTGGGCACTGTCCCTGAACATTTTATTTTATTTTTTGCCCAAGGCTAGCTCTCTACCAACTTGAGTTACAGCTCCAATTCTGGTTATTTGGTGCATAGCTGGAGAGAAGAGTCTCAGGGAGGCCAGGTGCCAGTAGCTCACACCTGTACTACTCGCTACTCAGGAGCCTGAGATCAGAGGATCACGGTTCAGCAAAGTCTGTGAGACTCTTATTACCAATTAACCATCCGAAAACCGTAAGTGGAGCTGTGGCTCAAAGTGGTAGAGTGCTAACCTAGAGCAAAAAAGCTCAGGGACAGTGTCCATATCCTGAGTTCAAGTCCCACAACTGACAAAAAAAAGTCTCTTGCCCAGGCAGGCTTCAAACCATAATCCACAGATTTCAGCTTCTTGAATAGCTAGGATTATAGGCATGAGACACTAGTGCCCAGCTAATATCTCCTATTTCTTTAAGGTCGTGTTTTAAAAGTTCATTAAATTATTAAAATTATTAAAAAGTTCATATAAATTATTCATCCCAAATAACTAAAAACATTATCATCTTACCTTCATTCGCCGTTTGTCCCATGGTATCCTTTTCTGGTGTTTCCTGTAAGGAAAAATAAAAGCCCCTTTTTAACATGATACATTTCTGAAAGGTACTAATATTTAGGAAGCAGTTACAGAATCAGGTAATTTCAATCTTCCTGCCTCAACTTCCCCAGGGCTTGGATTATAGGAGAGTATTCCACCATACAAATGTGTAACACCACACCTAGCAATATCTGTATTTTTATTAATAGATTATTAACTATATGACATAAAGACTCCTTGACTTAAAATGGAGTTCTGTTCTGATAAACCCATCCTAAATTTTAAAAATCCTAAATCACAAATGCATAAATTCTGCCAACATAGGTACTGCCAACACATCTGTAATCCTAGCTTCTCAGAAGGCTGAAATCTGAGGATCATGGTTGGAAGCAAGCCTAAGCAGTTGTGATATTCTTATGTCTGATTTACTACCAAAGAAGCTGGAAGTGGAACTGTAGTTCAAATGGTAGAATACTAGCCTTGCACATAAAAGCTCAGTGAGTATACAGGCCCTGAGTTGGATTGACATTAGTGTGTTGTATGTGTGCACACACACTCACACACATACACAAACAACAACAACAACAAAAAAAACTCCACCGAGGTACTTAGAAATTAAGCACTATAGACTTAATTGTGCTTTTTTTTGTTCAGTTGTGGGGCTTGAACTCAGGGCTTGTGCTCTGTTCCTGAGCTTTTTGCTCAAAGGCTAGTGCTCTACCACGTTGAACCACAGCTCCACTTGCCGGTTTTGAGTGGTTAGTTGGACCTAACAGTCTCACGGGGACGTTTCTGCCTGTGCTGACTTCAACCAGCAATCCTCAGTCCTGAGTAGCTAGGATTATAGGCCTGAGCCAGCAGCACCTGGCATCCTGTGAGACTCTTATCTACAATTAGGAACCACAAACAACCAGAATTAGAGCTGTGACTCAAGTGGTAGAATGCTAGCCTTGAGCAAAAAATAAATAAAAAAGTTTAAATTCTTTTTAAAGAAAAAAATAATGGTTTCATAGCAAAAAAGCATGTTTTCAACTATATTCAGAGGCAAGAGAACTTAAACACATTTGATTCAGTGTTTAAGTTCAAAATATATAATGAAAATCTTACACCAGCTGAAAGTGACAAAAGGTGGGGAAAGTAACCAAATGTTAAAAAAAAAAAACAAAAAAACAAACCTCTGCCAATACAAGTGCTTAAATAACTTTGTCAAGGCTATAAGGTATATACCAAACAAAAAAGAGCTGTTTATGTCTGGAATTCTGCACTATTTAACCTTGTCTGAGAAACAGACTTTTAAAAAAAAGGAAGTAAGCCAGGCCCAAAGAAACATAGGTCCCATGGTTTCCCTAATTTGCAATAACTAGTATATGTCTGGGACAAGCAGAAAAGGTCAAAAGCTACGTACATATGACCAGGTAAAATGATGTTAAGGGCTGGGAAGGTGGCTCAGTGGTAGAGTGCTTGCCTCTCATGCCTGAGACCCTGGGTTCGATTCCTCAGCACAACATAGGCAGAAAAAGCCAGAAGTGGTGCTATGGCTCAAGTGGTAGAGCTCTAGCCTTGAGCTGAAGAGCTGAGGGACAGCACCCAGGCTCAGAGTTCAAGCCCCATGACCGACAAAAAAAAAAGATGATGTTAAGTGAAATGAGCCCCATGATAGGGACACAAGTGGTTTTTTCTTTCTTGTTATTGTTCCTAACATACTTATAATGTACCATATGATTTTTTTGTTTCTTTGTATGTTTCTCCCCTAGGTATAACCGCTGTTTTCACTATATTTGATGTGGGTGCCCTGAATCTTGTATATACACTTCTCTAGCTTGGGGATGGGAAGGGAAACACAAACTGATTAAATAGGGATACATGTTGACCCATTGTAACAATGAGATCAACAAGACACTATGTTGAAAACTGAACTTTACAATTTAGGCCAGGAGGCGGGGGAGTGTAGTTGTGGAAGTGGGAGGGAAGGAAGGGTAGAGGAAAAACAGAGGAGGTAACAATACTTGATAGGAAATGTACTCTTCACCTTGCTCATGTAACGGTAACCCCTCTGTACAGTATTTTTACAATAAAAAGTATTTTAAAAAAAAAGAAATTCTCAAAAGAAACAGATTCACAAACTGCTCCCTGAAAACAAAGTAAAACTAAAATATCTTCAAGGTATGCCTTGGAATTGCAATATAGCTAGCTGTCCTTTGGGAAGTTCACAATGCACATTATAAAAGGTGGACACTCTTTCCAAACCTATAAACTTAGGAAGAGGCAAAGCCATAGCCATAAACACAAGTCACAAGTAGAATGTAATTAAATACTCTCCATCTCCAAATGATTCTCAGCTCTTTACTCACTAAAAGATTCAACAAGCTTATTCTATTCATTTTAGCTCTAAAGAATTAATCTAGTCTAGGTCTGAGAAGGTTGCTCAGTGGTAGAGGGCTTGCCTTGCATGCATGAGGCCCTGGGTTTGATTCCTCAGCACCACATAAGCAGAAAAAGCCGGAAGTGGGACTGAGGCTCAAGTGGTAGAGTGCTAGCCTTGAGCTTAAGAGCTAAGGGACAGCGCTCAGGCCCAGAGTTCAGGCCCCATGACCAGAAAAAAAATTAATCTAGTCTAAATTAGATAATTAGAATAATAAAATTAGAAGAATATCAACATATAAATTTCACCAAGCTGAAAGTCTTTTTACTTTTTATACAATATGATAGTCTCCTCCTTCCTCTTCCCCTTCATTTTCTGTGCCAGTATTGGGCTTGAAAGAAAAGCTGAGCTTGTCCCTTAAGGATTTTTTTTGCTCAAGGCTAGCACTCTATCATTTGGGCCACACATACACTTTCAGCTTTTTGTGGGTAATTGGAATTAAGATTCTCGTGGATTTTCCTGCCCAGGCTGGCTTTGAACTGTTATTCTCATATCTGATTTTCCTGAGCAGCTAGGACTACATATGTGAGCCACCAGTGTCTGGTTCCCATTTCTTTTTTTTTTTTTTTATTGTGAAAATACTGTACAGAGGGGTTACAATTACATGGGCAAGATAATGAGTACATTTCTTATCAAGCATTGTAGCCTCCTCCTTTGTTTCCCCTTCCCATCCCTTCCCAGGCTCCCCCCGGCCCCCCACCCAATCCTCCAGCCCCCCACCCAATCCTCCCCCCCCACCAAAGTTGTAAAGTTCGTTTTCGACATGACAACTTGTACTTCTCATTGTTGCAACAGGTCCACCTGTATCCTTATTTAAACGACTTGTTTTTCCCCTTCCCCTCCACAAAAGGTGATGTTAGCAAAATGAACCCTAAGATATGTATTTAAATTTTTTTTCTTTCATGCATTTGTTTCTAACGCATTTATAAGATTATTTCTTTGTTGCTTTTTTAATACTTTTTTTAATTTTTTAATTTCTTTTTTTTAATACATTTTTATTGTGAAAATACTGTACAGAGGGGTTACAGTTACAGGAGCAAGGTAAAGAGTACATTTCCTATCAAGTATTGTTGCCTCCTCCTTTGTTTTTCCCCTACCCTCCCTTCCCTCCCACTTCCACAACTACACTCCCCCCCTAAATTGTAAAATTCGTTTTTCAACATAGTGTCTTGTTCATCTATTGTTACAATGGGTCAACCTGTATCCCTATATAATCAGTTTGTTGCTTCCCTTCCCCTCCCCAAGCTAGAGAAGTGTATATACAAGGTGCAGGGCACCCACATCAAATACCATGGGGGAGGAACATAAAAAGAAACAAAAAAAATCATATGGTACATTATAAGTATGTTAGGAACAATAGCGAGAAAGAAAAAACCACTTGTGTGGTTCATTTCACTTATCATCTTATCTGGTCATATGTACATAGCTTTTGACCTTTTCTGCTTGTCCCAGACATATACTAGTTATTGCAAATTAGGGAAACCATGGGACCTATGTTTCTTTGGGCCTGGCTTACTTCACTTAAAATAATTTGTTCCAAGTCTCTAGCTCCCATTTCTTAAGTTAAAACTTTTCTATCACATGCCTGAAAAAGGTTTAGGATATGTTGAACAAAAATTACAACATAACAACCACCAGAATTATTTCTATGGTTTTGGAGATATATTTGACAACATAAACATAAACTATCCACAGATGCCTTATCCATGAAAGCTAAAGAATATAAGCTCATTTTAAATCAAGTGGATCTTAGTTTCTGACATTTTCTTAAGTTTTGAGATATATCTCTATACATAAATATATAAAGATTTATATAGACTATAGACACACACACATATATATATGCATATATATATATGTGTGTGTATATATATATATATATATATATATATATATATATGTATGTATGTATGTATGTATCACAAACTTGCCTGCCTGGGTTGCTTTTGAACTGCAATTCTCAGATCTCAGCCTCCTGAGTAGCAATGATTACGAGTGTGAGCCTGGCCTATACCATTTTTAATAAGATAAATAGAATTGCTTTCTTTCATCCATTTCTCCAATATAAAAGGAATTGAGAGATTAAGACTCCAAACCAGAGAAGGAAAACTTTTAAAAATCATTCAACTCTGGCCTTTCTTACCATTTCCAGGTTTTAGTTTCTGCTATTAGCAATCACTTCCAATTCTAAGATAATGTATACTAATTTTCAGACATTCATAATGGTTCTAAACTTTTTTTTGGGGGGGGGTCCAGTCGTGGGCCTGAACTCTGGGCCTGGGCGCTGTCCCTCAGCTCTTCAGCTCAAGGCTAGCGCTCTACCACTTGAGCCACAGCATCACTTCCAGCTTTTTTCTTTTTGCTTATGTGGTGCTGAGGAATCGAACCCAGGGCCTCATGCGTGCAAGGCAAGCGCTTTACCACTGAGCCACCTTCCCAGCCCCTGGTTCCAAACTTTTTAAGGGGGCTTATTTTCTCACTTCAAATCACAAAATATCTGGAAAGGTGAGACCAATATTCTTAACACAATCTACAGCTCTTTTCTTGATAGGTGTCAGAGTTCATTTTGTTCTTATTTTATGTATCCTAAAAACCAGAAGTATGACTCTGAGGAGATAGTGAAATTCACAGAGGGGAACTAACAGAGACAATGAGCTCAGATTTCCATTTACAACTTTAATGAGAAATGAACTAGCATAAAGGGAAAAGGGAAGTAACCTGATCAAAATAAAAATAATAATAAAAATAAATAATAAAAATCCAGCTGGGTGCCAGTGGCTCACGCCTGTAATCCTAGCTACTCAGGAGGTGAGATCTGAGGATTGAGGTTCAAAGCCAGCCCGGGCAGGGTGAGACTCTTATCTCCAATAAACCACTAGAAAATTGGAAGTGGCCTTGTAGCTCAAGTGGTAGAGCACTCGCCTTGAGCTGAAGAGCGCAGGGACAGCGCCCAAGCCCAGAGTTCAAGCCCCATGACCGACCAAAAAACAAAAACAAAAAATCCCTTGCACCCATCACCAGTATTCTACTAAACCCAAAAAGAGGGCAAAAAATATTCTAATGAAAGTTTCTTCTCCCACCCCCTAAAAATTGAAACTAAAACTGAGATCTGAAATTGGAATTAGGATGTTCCTTATATGGAACAAGGGAATACATCATTTTCATCCAAAATACTTGGTTATTTATTCAGCCTATTCAAGGCACCATCTGATTATTTCATTTTTATGTTTTTTATTGTAAAAATACTGTACAGAGGGGTTACAGTTACATGAGTAAGGTAATGACTACATTTCCTATAAAGCACTGTTACGTCCTCCTTTGTTTTTCCCCTACCATCCCTTCCCTCCCGACCTCCCTGATTATTTCTTAATGAGACAGCAAAGGGATTGATTAGCCTGACCATTCCAAAACAAACATGAACAGAAGAAAACAGAGGCAGGAAGAGGGGTAAAAGGAAGCATCTGGGAGGAACAGGCAGACAGCTAAAAAGGAACAAAATGCAAAAGAAAATGAGAGCCTCATCTGGTTTGCGACTAATATCAAAAGTCTTATTTTTGAAGACAGAAATTTCTGAAATGCTTTTAAAAAAGGAAACTGCTTTAAAATATTAGTAAGTTTAAGACTAATTATAGCCTCAACTACTTAGTCATAGAAACGTAATTAATACCAATCTCTAGCACACATACTGATTTCCATTTACACTAGCAACTAATTTTTCCCTCAAGTCTAACCAATGTTATTTATTTAGCTCAGAAAATTATCTCTCAAAAAGATGTACAGCTTTATAAAATTACAACAAAAAGGCACAAAGATGGTACAAATCAAAAATAATTCATAGTTACAATCAGAATTTTGCTTGGAAAATTATGCCTGTTAAATAAAAGGAATATTTGCTCTACTTATTTTCTTAGCTAAAACCTTGAAATATCCAAGAATAAACTACTGGTGAAAAGCTGTAAATACCCAGGAACCACTACTCATGGTAGGCTACTCTAAATAAATGTACCTTGAGCTGAATGAACTCCATATGGAAGTCAGCACCAAGGTTTAATAAGGATGTGTTAATTGAACCATAAAAGGCCCAAGGAAGCCAGCAACGGTGGCTCACGCCTGTAATCCTAGCTACTCAGGAGGTTGAGATCTGAGGATTGCAGTTCAAAGCCAGCCCAGGCAGGAAAGTCTGTGAGATTCTTTTTTTCTTTTTCTTTTTTTTGGACGGTCATGGAGCTTTAACTCTGGGCTTGGGCGCTGTCCCTGCGCTCTTCATCTCAAGGCCAGAGCTCTACCACTTGAGCCATAGCGCCACTTCCAATTTTCTAGTGGTTCATTGGAGATAAGAGTCTCACGGAGTTTCCTGCTCAGGCTGGCTTTGAACCATGATCCTCAGATCTCAGCCTCCTGAGTAGCTAGGATTACAAGCATGAGCCACCAGCGCCAGGCTCCAGAAGACTCTTATCTCCAATAAACCAACAGAAAACGGGAAGTGGCACTGTGGCTCAAGTGGTACTCGCCTTCACCTGAAGGGCTCAAAGACAGGGCCTGGGCCCAGAGTTTAAGCCCCATGACTGGGAAAAAAAAAAAAAAAGGCCTAACGAACTGCCCCATGAGAAATACTGATGGCACATCTTTAAGAACAATTCCAATATTCTTTGTACATTTAGGGCATCATCAGTTTTAAGGTATCCTTACAAATAATGCAGTACTCATACATTGATCTTTTTTCCCCATCTATCAGTTCCAAAATAAATCAACTTCTCTGAGGTTAACAAGTATACACCCTTAAGAAATATATTAGGATGTCTGATGTTTATGAAGCTTATCCAAAAACTTCAGAGCCATTTAAATACTGTTTGACAAACTCATTTTTTAAAATTTAGACTTCTAAAGATTATGGATGTATTTACATGTATGAAAATATCACAATGAAACCAACCTCATATTACAAATAACTCAAAAAGAAAACACACCAAAAAAGAGGAAAAATGAAAAAATAAAGGTTATAAAGCTGTAGAAAAATGAATACCAGGCATCAGGTGAGTGCTCACAAACTCAGCCCTTTCTGAAAATCCTGTTTGGACTCATTCCCAGAAGCTTATTTTCACATTCCTCTCATTAAAAATATGAACTCACAAACAACCTGGAAGAATATCTACCATTGGAAGTAGTTCTTCAGAGAACACCAGCCACAAGAAATTACTTAAAATAAAAATGGCTCTAGAACTATTGTTATAATAGTCATAGGATGTTGTACTCCATAAACTAATCTTCCCTTTTAAATACTAATAGCTGTGGAGGTATTAAAATGCAGCATAATTGAAGCTGATTTCGGGGGGGGGGGGTGGAGAAGAAGCAGCTTCAGCAAGTTTGAAAAGCGTAAGTCATAAGCAAGTTACTTTGCCTGTTTCCCGGTACAAAACACTTTGCATCCTAGAGGTGTTCTACATTGGCCTCGGGTAAGTCTCTCCAAAACAGGCACTTCAAATTGCAATCACACTTTGAAATGTTAACACCCTTAAAAAAAAAAACCAATACTTTTAAATGGGAACCTGGAAGTAAACATGTGAGCTGTGTAAACATTGGAAAAAGACGATTACGCTCAGCCCTTGAACGTACAGCTCAAGGCACAAAAATTGCTCAAATTCCCCAATGCCTCCGTTTCCGTCTGGCTCTTCACATCCAGATACAGCATAAACACTACCCAAGTGAGAAGAAAAAGAAAAGAAACTATCGCGCCCTGTTTCTAAGCCCCGCGACAAGACGACTGCTGCTGTCTTGGGGTCCAAAGCAAAACCTGGAGTCCCGTGCCTTGTCTTGCTGTCCAGCTTGGCCACTAGGGTCAGTCACCACCGCCCTCGTCCCTACCAGGAGCCCCAAGGCTCCCACCTGGAACTGAGCCCCATGTTCACTCTCGGCCACAGGCCGACTTTCCCTCCCCCCTCCCCCCAAAAACAATCCAAAAAGTAACTTCCCACGTCCCCCTGGAAGTCACCAGGCCCTTCCACCCCGCCAACTACCTGCAAAGCTCCGGGCCCCAGCCCGGCCCCTCCCATCCCGTGTAGGCTGAAAGGAAGGCGCTGTCCCAGCTGCGGGCCAGGGGACCGCGGCAGGGGCGGTGCAGCGCCCGAACGCCACGGACAACAGCGGGCGTGTGGTCGGTGCAAGGGCTCCAATGGGTTGTGAGGGGCATCTCGAGAGCAGCTAAGGTGGTCTGCCGAGGGCGCTACGTGGGATAGAGGAAGCTGGAGCCGCACGGCGGCAGGGCGGCCGGGAGTGATGCACCCGAGTGCGGGGCCGAGCGGAGGAGGAACGCCCGCGGAGGGGGGCGTTCCTCACATGCAACACGCCGCTTAAGATTCCCCGCCGCCAGCCAGGGCTCGCGCAGCACTTCTCCGTCTCTCTGCAACTCACAGGGCCCAGGGGCACCACGCACCTTGCATCTAGTCAGCAAGAGCAACGAAATTCTAGCACTCTAGTCCCGACAGCAGGCACCGGACTTCACGCCGCCGCCGCCATTTTTGAGGAGCCGCGCGCGAGGAGCCGCGCATGCCCTGTTAAACCTCCCCCCCCCCTTTACTTTCTCCTCCCACTCCTACCCCAACCCCAGCCGCCGGCCCCCAGCCCTGCGGTTACTGCAAGCACTTACTTCCCAAAGACCGCGACTGCCTCTCTTACGAGGCCCAAATCGGGGACATTCGCTTTCCTACAAAGACTGAGCGATAGACAATATTGAGACACTGCACGCTGGGAAAGCCCTTACCAATTTTTCCTCATTCCTCCCCGCCAAAATGACCCCCAAACAGTCTCAGCACAAGTACCCAAGCCCCCTGAGGTCCGCACCACCGCCTTCAACTCATGGCCAGCATTCACCCTGACCACGGATTCTCAAACCAGGCGCTTTAGAATCTACAATAAACCCGAGCATCAAGGGAAACGCTCCGTGAAGACAGCTTGAGCAAAATCACCACCTGAAGGATTACAGCATATTCCCTGAAACTGCTTCCCTCCCTCCCCTGCCATAAGTATTTGCTAGCAATCCCCTTGCAGATCTACTTCATTTCTCGCAACTTTGGCTAGAGTTAACAGACACTAAGTAAACCCAGAGAGCGGCGATCATTTCCTCACATACTCGACGACGCACAGCCGCCTTACAAAGGCTGTGCTTTGAAGTCCCCTCTATCTAATCTCCGGGAATATCTATAAGGTAGGAGTTGGTCATATCAAGGCACCAAGAAGGAGGAGGCAAAAAAAACTGCCTTTAAATGGGCCACGAATCTTTGCACAAAATACAGAAAACAACCAACGAAAGGCATCTATTCCTTTTTCAGATTTAAGTATAAGTCAATCAAAATCTTGGGTTTTTGCACATTTAACATGTTTGAATATAAACATCAGTACTGCCCAAAAAAATCTGGATAAAGATTTTTAAAGAAGTGTAAGAAGAATGAGAAAAAGTAATACAGGAAGTGAATATGATCAAAAAATTCTACATAAATATACAGAAATACCATAAAATGACCCTCACATTGTACGATAAATATAATAAAGTATGTATATATGTAAGTTCAACCCAAATACTGTCCAAAAATTGTAATATGTATGTGTATATGGGGGCAGAGGAGGGAGAGGAATAAGAAAGTAATGGAGGAATTAATATGAGCATTAGTTTGATAGATATATGACAAACTCCCACACTGTACAATTACCATGTGTTAATAAATGTGTGCATGTGTTACAATACCAGCCATGAACAAGAAAGACAAGCAAGTGTACACCCTGAGTTCTAGCCCCAGTATAAACGGATTGTAAAAAAGAACTTCTCTAATTCGGGGAGGGGAAGGGAAAAAACAAAATACTTAAATAAGGATACAGTTTGACCCATTGTAACAATGAGATGTACAAGACACTATGTTGAAAAACGAATTTACAATTTGGGGGGGGGGAAGTATAGTTGTGGAGGTGGGAGGGAAGGGATGGTAGGGGAAAAACAAAGGAGGAGGCAACAATGCTTGTTAGGAAATATACTCATTATCTTGCTCATGTAACCCCTCTGTACAGTATTTTTACAATAAAAAACATTTTAAAAAAAGAGAATCTAGGAGAATAACGAAAATTAACAGAAAAGGTTAACATGAGCAAGGAATAGAATATGTATGGAAATACCACAATCAAAACCCCACATTATACAATTAGTAAGTGTTAAAAAATATGAAAATGTACATATATCAAAGGGTGAAGCCCTAACTTCAATAACTAGTATGGGCCAGAAGAAAATTGGGGCTAGAGGAGGTATAAGAAAGAGTATTAGAGGGATAAATATGATTAAGTATAGTATATGCATACATGAAAATACAACATGATACAATTAACATTCACTAATAAATAAGTGAGTTCCAATCCCCAAAAAATGCCGAAAAAATACAAAAAGGATAATCGGAAAAGGGGGAGGAGAAGTAACAGAATAAAAGAGGTGAATATGAGCAAACAATATCATATGCACATATGGAAATACTATAATGAAACCCCCATACTATGCAATTAATATGTACTAAAAGTAACATATATACATGTGTGTATATGAATATATATATATATATATGAGGACCTGAGTTCAATTCCCAGTAGTGCAAAAAGAAAAAATGCAATAATTAAAAAGCAAAGAAGGAAATTACAAAGAGTAAAAGAAAAGGTAAATACGATCAGAGAATATCATATATAAGTATCATAATTCCACAATGAAAATCCCACATACAATTAATGAATTTTAATGAAATAATTCAAATTGTAAATATAGGCACCAGGTTCAACCCAGTTCAACCTTCAGTACAAGATTATGAAACAGGATAAAAAATAGAAATAGAGGGGCATAGTATGATCAAAGAACGTAATATGCATGTATGGAATGACCTCAAAGAAACACCAAATAATTATAAAGGTTTTATGAAACCTGGAGCTCAATCTACAGTACTACAGAAGGGGAAGGGAAATTTCTAACAAAGATAAGGAAAAATACTGTTGTGAAATCAAGAAAGTGATGAATATGAGCAAAAAAAATATTAACAACATGTACAAAATACCACATTAAGGGCTAGAAATGTGGCTTAGTGGTAGAGTGCTTGCCTACTATGCATGAAGCCCTACATTCGATTCCTTAGTACAACATACACAGAAAAAGCCAGAAGCAGCACTGTGGCTCTAGTAGTAGAGTGCTAGCCTTGAGCAAAAGAAGCACGGGGACAGTGCCCAGGACCTGAATTGAAGTCCCAGGACTGGCAAAAAAACAAAACAAAACATTAAAACCCATTGCACATTAAGCTTTACTAAATGAACAAATTAAAAATATATTTATCGGGCTGGGAAGGTGGCTCAGTGGTAGAATGCTTGCCTTGCATGCATGAGACGTGGGTTCTATTCCTCAGCACCACATAAGCAGAAAAAGCCGGAAGTGGCGCTGTGGCTCAAATGGTAGAGCACTAGCCTTGAAGGACAGTGCCCAGGCCCAGAGTTCAGGCCCCACAACCAATCTATCTATCTATCTATCTATCTATCTATCTATCTATCTATCTATCTATCTATCTATCTATCTATGCATGAGGGGGGCTGAGAATGTGGCTTAGTGGTAGAGTGCTTGCCCAGCATCTTGAAGCCCTCAGTTAATTCCTCAGTACCACATAAACAGAAAAAGCTGGAAGCGGCACTGTGGCTCAAGTGGTACAGTGCTAGCCTTGAGCAAGAGAAGCTCAAGGACAATGCTTAGGCTCAGACTTCAAGCCCCAGGACCAGCAAAAAAGAAAAATGCATGAGGGCTAGAGTTCAATCCCCAAAACCATCCAAATAAGTGGAGGGGAGTATAAGAATAATAAAATGAGTGTATATGATCTAAGAACATTATTTGCAAGTATTAAAATACCACAATTAAGCCCACATACTATGTAATATATGCTTATATAAATTTTAATATATTACCACCACAAGCACAAGGCACTAAATTCAAACCCTGTACTGAGGGAAGGGAGGAGGAGGAGGAAGAAAAAAAAATGTAACAGGAAAGGGGGAAATAAAAAGTATATGAAAGTATGGGCTGGGAAGGTGGCTCAGTGGTAGAGTGCTTGCCTTGCATGCATGAGACCCTAGGTTCGATTTCTCAGTATCACATAAGCAAAAAAAAATCTAGAACTGGTGCTGTGACTCAAGTGGGAGTGCTAGCCTTGAGGTGAAGAGCTGAGGGACAGCGCTCAAGCCCATAGTTAAGCCCCACAACCAACAAAAATAAATAAACTTAAAAAAAGAGTATATGAAAGTGAATACAATCAAGAAATGTTACATGAACGAATGCATGTAAAATATTAAACCACACACACTTCACAATTACTATATTCAAATAAATTTAATCACATATATGTAAGTATGTATATGTACATAAAAGTATTATAGAGAGGGGGAGAGGGAGAGAGAGACAGGAGACTCAAGTTCAAACTTCAATACCACTAAGAGACTAAATATAATCAAAGAATAAATATGCATGTATCTATAATGAAGTAAACCTGCACACACTATGTAATTATTATATGCTAAATTTATATATACATACCTATACCCACATATATATGTATACACCTACACCGAGGCCCAGAGTTCAAGCCCCATGACTGATAAAAAAATAGAGTAATAGAAAGGGTGAATATTATTTAAGAAATAGATGTGTATGAAAATCCCATAATTAATTCTCCATGCTACACAATATACACAAATAAATTCTATATTTATATATGTAAAACCCCAAGGCTCCAAGTTTTTTTTTCTCTTTTTTTTTATTGTGAAAATACCATACAGAGGGGTTACAATTACATGGGCAAGATAATGAGTACATTTCTTATCAAGCATTGTTGCCTCCTCCTTTGTTTGCCCTTCCCATCCCTTCCCATCCCTCTCCCCCACCCCCAAGCCAATTCTCCCCCCCACTAAAGTTGCAAAGTTCGTTTTTCGACATACAACTTGTACACCTCATTGTTGCAATGGGTCCACTTGTATCCCTATTTAAACGATTTTTTTCCCTTCCCCTCCACAAATTATACCAAAGCAGGGGTTATGTCATGGGGGAGGGACATACAAAGCAACAAAGAAATATCTTATAAATATATTAGAAACAATCACATGAAAGAAAAAAACATTTGAATACTTATCTTGGGGTTCATTTCCCTAACATCAACTTATCTGACCTTTTCTGCTTGACTCAGACATATACTAGTTATTGCAAATAAGAGAAACCATGGGACCTATGTTTCTTTGGCTCCAAGCTTTTTTGTCTGTCATGGTGCTTGAATTCTGGGCCTGGGCGCTGTCCCTGAGCTCTTCAGCTCAAAGCAACCACAGTGCCACTTCCAAAGGCTCCAAGCTTAATCACTACAACCACCAAAAAATTTCTAGGCAAATAATAAAAGGGACAAATAAGAAAGAATAATAGGTTAAATATAATCAAACCATAGCATAGGGCATGCATGGCAATAACAAA